GGCTCTTGGATAGGCTCTTGGATAGGCTCTTGGATAGGCTCTCGGGTTGGCTCTTGGATAGGCTCTTGGATACCAGGTTCTTCTGTGGACGGTTGGGTGTGTTCAAGACGAGTATGAACAGGTGCCAATGAAGAGTCAGATCCTTTTTTTATGCTCTTCTTGCTTTTTTTGCTCCTTTTAGCCTTCTTGCCGAGAGGTGTTGTAGACTTTTTGCGCAATAGTATGATCACTTCGCCATCTGGATCGATAATATGACTTGGCTGGTTCATTATTGTTGCTCGGTGCACGTTGTCAACTCAACACTAGAATGTGGCTAACTTTCTTGATAAGAGTAAGGAAGAGAATGGAAGGAGGGGCTACGATATTATACATATGGTAGCCGTCATCTTTCATTTCATTGGTTTTTTTCTATTGTTATTCTGTATTCACTGCTGAAGGTGTGGCGGCCGCTGATTGGCGTCTATGTTGACAGCGCCTGCATCCAGGACGTGGCCATTCATTCCATAGGTATGCCAGGATTTCTCACAGACTAATATAACGAGCAGACTCGTATTTATCCGATCACTTTTGGATCTCGCTAACAAAATGATGAGTCACGCCAACTATCACCCCCTAATTAATAAAGAATCCCGGGTCTCCGTCCTTGTGTATCGTCTGAGATCCATCCTATTTGCTAACGCGATATCATAAGCCTCCTTCATGTTGTCTTTATATCTCTACGTGTCCACTTATGATAGCTGCCAGTCGTTATACTCCATCTCTGCTTTGTCCAACAGAAGGTCTGGGATCAGGAGTCAATCAATAGGCTCTGTGTTGAATATGTCCAGGCCTTGTGAATTGAGGCTCAACCAATAGACTAGAAAGCTTTGGACTGATCATCTACTTTCCTATATAAATATATTTATGTTCTATTATTGGTTATTTTATTATATATTGAAGTATTAGACTTACCCTTTTTCTCAATATTTATAGAGTTATCATTCATTTTTAAACCACTTTTACTATACTTATGAAAAGCTCCAACCACTTCCCCCCCCAACACCCGAGAAAGTCTTTGATCAGAACATTCTATAATTTCGAAATGCCTCTATGTCACTTGTCTCTAATAGACAAATAGTTTCCATAGGTGTGGCATTGTGCCTCAACCCAAATGGAGTCTCTTCCGTATCTCATATACTTTATCATTTACTAGAGTAGACAGCCGACCCACTTAGATTGCGTGATTCGACTAACCTCAGATTTCTAATCTACTATGCACCATTATATGTGATTCCATAGTATATACATGAATAGCTCTCGGTAAGTGTATGACGTATTCCGTATCGCGGGATCTGAGCATCCGGCATCCGAACAGTCCTTCCGTTCGGATCAAGTCTCAAAACTACACCCGGACTATATCAAGCCTCATCCGCGTATTGGATTTGTTAGCTGCTTACCAAAACAGATACGGAGTATTCAACCGAACAAATGCATCTCAATATCTATACATTGATGATAAAAGGAGCCATAAACCCCGTCGTCATGGGATTAATAACATACAAATTCAGTTTATCAAACCACCCAAGCTCAATACAACATCCTGGATTATCCTTCGTTTAATACAATGTCTCAACGTGTGCTTCTTCTCGGTGCCACTGGCCAGACAGGCAATTCCATCCTGAATGGACTCCTTGAGCACGGCGGATATGTATGTAACTGATATCAGTCCAATCGGTCCATATCTATTGCTAGCACTAACAGTGTTTCGCTCCCCAGGAAGTCGCTGCGTTGGTTCGTCCTTCGTCAGCTGAAACTCCAAAGGTGAAGGCCGTGGCCGAACGAGATGTGAAGATCGTCGCTGCCGATATCGCCGGCCCGGTGGGTGAATTAACCAGCATCCTCCGTGGCTTCGATGTTGTGATTAGTGCCATCGATGCCTTGAGCATGCATGCTCAGGAGAACCTAGTCACCGCTGCGAAACAGGCCGGCGTAAAGCGGTTTGTACCGTGCGCATTCATCACTGTCTGTCCACCGGGTGGCGTGTTTCGCCTGAGAGATGAGGTATTTCTATCCATTTAACCGCATGCTGAGCCTCGGAATTGCCCGCCAGCAACGGAGAAATGGCATTTTCTAGGTTACTTAGCAACCTGGACTGCAGAAATGTCGCTAACACTTATACGACAGAAAGAAGCAATATACCAACATATCCGCAAGCTTCACCTCCCGTACACTATTATCGACGTTGGATTCTGGCACCAGATCTCTTTCCCAACTGTCCCGTCCGGCCGCGTAGATTACGCCTCCATGTATTCACCCAACACAACCATTCACGCAGGCGGCAATGCGCCAAACATCCTCACCGACCTCCGTGACATAGGTCCCTTCGTCGCGCGCATCATCGCCGACCCCCGCACCCTCAATCAATCAGTCTACACATGGTCTGATGTGCTGACTCAGAACGAAATCTTCGACATGATGGAGGAGGTGAGCGGTGAAAAGATAGACCGCACCTACATGTCCGCAGAGACAATTGAGACGGCCATTGCGACCTTCAAAGAGACTCTCGAGAAGGAACCAGAGCATATACCCTCTCGTCTGGCGCTGACCATGTTTCAGTATTTCTTCAGTAAAGCTATCCGGGGTGATAACCGGCCCGAGTATGCGAAGTACCTGGGTTACTTGGATGCCAGAGAGTTGTATCCGGATTTTGAACCGAGAAGCTTTAGGAGCTATTTGAAGGAGGTCCTCGATGGTAAGGCAGAGAAGGTGTATAAGGATAATGAGGGTATCGAGCAGTTGAAGAAATGGTTTTTTGAGTCGGGGCTGCAGCTCTAGGTTCCAGTTAGGTACTAGCTTGGGGGAAGTGCTTTGAAGGATGGACTCACGTATCTATTGCGTGGCTTGATAAATAGTATAATGCGATAGCAGATAGTATTGCCCAGTGAGTAAATGGATCTATAACATTCAGGCATCTTGATACTCCAATTTTATACTTATTCTTATCTAAGCGCATGGCCACCCTTCTAGAGTTGACTATGATAGAAAATAGCCCTCAACTGTAGGTTATCTGGCCCCTTCGCGATATGGGGCGTTTCGTTTAGAGGAGGGATCTCGTCACTCTTGCTCTCGATACTTTACGAGATCACTGGGCCTTTCCAAATCACAATAATGTGGACCCCCTTGACCGCACGACTATGGCTGTTCAGAATGGCTTGCTCGCGGTAGGTTCTGGGGCTGGCTTAGTGACTTGGTTTAGATTGGGCCACTTTACTTACCTTATCCGGGTTGAAGGAAACACCTCTAGGAACTTTGGTATCATTGAACTTTCCCTCGTGTCTCTTTGCTGGAACTGGCTTAGTCCAGCCCTTGCTCCATTGGTAGTTGTTGTGCGGGTTGACCGGGTTGATTGCGAGGAAGCATGGCTTCTTCGTCTTTGCTGCGTCGGGGTTTAATTCAACACAGGGTCAAAAGTGAAGGGTTTGCATAAGCTTCTAAGGCTTAGCAGCATGCCAAATACACTAATAGCCAAATATTGACGAAGAATAGACGATGTGAAAAATCCCAATACTAATAGTTCATATATCAGCCCGTGCGTTACAACCTTGAACTTATTTCGATATTACGTCGACAAACACGACCTTGAAATGTTGATCCCTGATTAACAACTAAGAATATGTAGCTTGTGGTATCCGTGCTAGCTATATTAGAAAAGGATTTGTAGTGATGTTGGCTTATATGAATACTATTTTTATCTTTATTTATTTATTCTATTTTACTTTATTTTTATGTATGTATTATTGTTATTGATATTTGGTATTTTGGTTTGGCGAAGGAAGCATCCCACCTTAAGAGCGGAGCTTTGCTCGCATGGATATAGGCAGAGTTGAACTGAGCGACCATACAGCCTCCTTAATCTCTCCTCAACTTAGTTTTCATTGGCTATATTAAAACTTTAGATATATACTAGGAAAATATCTGATAAAGTATCCAAGTTGGACTCTAAGAAGATAATTTCATTTTCTAAGATTCGTAGTAGAGTAATCCTTATTAGTACTAGAACCTAAATAATAATCAAAGGAAGAAGATATGATGGACCTAGGGTTTAGAGATATAGACTTGGTTGAAAAGCGTTTTTATTCATTTGATATCGGATTCCTGCCTTGCCTGTAAATTATTTACTAAGCTGATATCACGGATAAACGCCGATGTGGGGAAGAGCGGTCCACTGAATTCCATGTCATACCTAAAAATGGTTAGCAGGACATCAAGAGCAGCTTTGGAGCGTGATCTCACCAGTAGTTCACAGCAAGCACAAAGCCCTCGTCCTCTTCCGTACAGGATTGTGAAACCTTGTGGTACCTATACCATATGCTGGTGAGCACTCGTGTGTGATGGACAGCAGAGGGGACAATTACCACATGGCTGGTAAATATAGCATATCTCCCGGGTTCAGAGTGACTCTGAGAGGTTGGGTATACTGAGAGAATGGGGTGGTGTTCTCGGAAGGCCGATCAGGATCCCAAGTGGGAAAGGGAACGGGTTCATCGTTGTCATCCATCTGGAGGACGAGTCCATCATCGGTGCGAACATACGTTGCAGGCTGCAGCGGTTGTTCATTGACACAAGGATGACAGAGAGCGGGAAACAAGACAAAATGCTTCCTCCCGAGAACTTGAACATAGATGTTCTCGTAGTTGTCCTTGTGCATGGCTGTAACAGATTTGGAATTGCCTATCCACAGATTGACAGCATCAGGTGTTTTGTCAAGTGCAATTCTGGCAAATGGGATGTCTTTTTGAACATCCGAAAACAGGGTAATGTATTCATCACGAAGATTATCATTCTCTAGCATGGTTGTTAGTTTGGCGTGGTGAACTACAGGGGTGAAGGAGACCGGCCGAACTGACGGGTTTGGGCATATCTCACTTCCGCATCCTGGGGGAAGTTTGGGTCCGTTTCATGACGGACAACATATTCTAGGAACGTGTCAAAAGGTTGATCTTCGTAGTGGGGTTTGGCAAACACCGGGGACTCGTAGTCGGGATGTCGTGTGGGAGCATCGGCGTTACTTAGAGATTTATCCGTGATTTAGCGTGGCGTGTCTTGAGTTAAGAAACGCACTTACCCGTAAGGGGTGACAGCAACATTGACGGTCTGATCCTTAAGGGCCTTGAGAAGATAAGCTGAGTTCCACTCTTGACAAGCTTTCCAAGAGAGAGCACCGCCTCGAATCACAAATGGCGTGTTGCGGGCCACAAAGCGCATAAACTCGAGAGGGCTCGGTTCCTCGTCCAGTTCCTCCACCACATGGCTGTTGAGCTCATTGAACGTGGACAAAAGCTCTGTAATCGCTGCATCTGCGGTTTCCGATGCCATTATTATAAAACTTCCTTTTGTTACACTAAGCGAGGTGCTTGGCCTACTCGTTGAAACAGTCTGGAGGCGCTTTGGCGATCTCAGTGCGGTTGTGGGGTGTGATCATCGAGGCGGCAGCCAATGACAAAAACCGCCAACTAGGGCACCAGATGTGATACGCGCACGATTTGTCTTTAATCTCTACTCTGTCGATCTATAAAACTGCAAGTCAATTGAAGTTTCTAATTGGACTATTGATAAGAAGAATCCAAGCTGTTTGACGTTTAATGATTTTGCCTGAGATATTGGTGTTGGAACGAGACATAATGTATAAATATATAACATTGGATGCTCTCTCTCCCTCAGTCGCCTTTCTCTATTCCTCTATCTCTTTTTCTCTTTCAACCAATCATCCTCTTCGTTGCTAAATTTAACGCTAGTCAGCTATCTAAAAGATATCATATTATACGTTGTATTGTATTCTGGCCGACTTGAGCTTGGATTAGGTGGAATTGTGGATGTACTAAATTAAATGTATGGCTATGCCTAAGGCTTTGTGGCTGTACAGGGCTGGCTTAGGTCCTAGCGTTGATACTGCAAGTAGAGCTAGCGTATTATTTGTTCTTTATAAGGCAGCCGCATTGTTCCTAAAGCTTATCGATTTTAAATCTCCCCGGTCTACCAGACACCATTCCACCCTTCCCTAACAGCATTTCAAAGGACATGGATACAGCTGTATTCACCCTCTTCCCGACCCTTCCCCCAGAGCTCCGCAACCAAATATGGCGAGATGCTCTACCTGACAAAGTTAGGCAAGCCCTATACTTCTATAAATGGGGCTGTTGGCGGAGTCGACGTCTCATAGAAGATGATGAAGACTATAACCATGGTAACGACCAGCTTAACATATGTTACGAATTCAGCCACGACCTATTAGACCCTATGAAAATTGAGATGCCACTCCTCTTTGTCAACTCTGAAGCCCGTGGCATTGCTTTAGCCTGGGTGAAAGGGCAAAATCTTCAGAGAGCCTTCTGCGAAGATGGACAAACCCCTATTGTCATACGCCCATTTGACCCAGCCCATGATACACTATATATTTCGCTCGATGCTTGGGACAGCTTCTCCAACGAGCCTTGTGAGGCAGTATCCGGTAGCGAGTACTATAATTGCGTCCCTCCAGCGTTTACACGCATCGCCGTGCCCGAGGCATTTTTCCAGTACGACATCAGCCTATCAGACCTTTTCCACTTCTACTATAATCTCGAAAAGGTTTTCATCATTCCCAATGCACAGGCCAATATACATTCTGAGAAGAAAGGTCTAAAGATGCAGCGGAGGTGGGAGCTTCAGAGCACTCAGGGACCGATGCTATTCTGGAATAACGACCGTGAGTGCTTTGAGTGGAAGGATAGTGCAGACATCAACGACAACGCCATGAGTACGGTGATAAAGAAGGCCTGCGATGGGCTAGATAAAGAGCTCATGTTTTTCGAGATGAAAAGCTTTCAGGTCCAGGCTGCCTTTGCCATTAGAAAGTGAACAGCGGCCGTCTTGCTTGACATTGCATCAAGTGCAGACAAGAACCGAAACATAACTGGCCTTGCGGCTAAAAGATTCGTGGCCCAATTGAGAATTTTGGATGACACGGCGTACAGAGAACCTTCCCAACTTTTATTTTTGAGACAAAGCTCAAATAGTTTCACACGGAAAGATTAACCCGTGGCCCATCCATCTCCTTCATCCTATTACATACGATCTTCAATCCCATGAATATTCTCCAGGTTAGACATTACCAGCCCACGCATCCCTTCTTCATAGACGCCATAAGCCCTCCAGAGCTTTCTCATCGTGTCAACACTGACCCTCTGTCCCTGTCTATGAGTCCCAGTATACGCCGTGAAATAGGCCCCAGTACCGTCTGCAGATACGGCATAGCGGACATCGTCGAATTCAGTCCCGTCGGGAATATAGGCAGCGAGGCGCATATCGTAGACAATGAGGAAGTATCCCATGCCCACATCGAACCCGAAATGGACATCGATGTTGTCCTGTTCTTTCATCCAGGTGACCATGCTTTTGATATTAGCGGCGTCTGTTCGGATTTGGTATCATGCTTACTTGGAATTTGGGGTGTTCGTTGAAAGCGAGGGATTAGCAGATTGATTAAGAACTGAAAAGGCAGGATGTTAGTAGAGGGAATCGGTCTTACGATAAAAGTGAGGTCATATACTTCTAACAGCAGTGCGTTGGACGACAATACGCACCTACTTCTTCCGAGATTCGAAGGTATCGCTGTCGTTGCAGTGATCAAGAGATATTGTACAGTACTTAAAGATGAACTTGGAGATGTGTCCAAGACGCCAAGAGTTGAGGGCTGCGGTGTTGTTTAAATACGACGAGGCGATGGGGCGAAAGTGAATTAAATGCTGTATTCACTTCATGTCTGGCACTATCAAGATGACTGACTACCTTAGGCATCAACTATCATGGCATAGTCATATTTCTGCCAGTAAAACTAGGAGCAAGCACATGTTATCCTCAATCTCAAAGCAGGTCTCTCCATTTATCCATACCTGTGACCCTCAGGGCACGCATACCAGTCTCATAGACCTCAAATTTCTTCCAAGCCTTTTACAATTCATCAAGACTGACGTATTCTTCTCCATCACCTCCCCTTCCACCAGTATAATTCACAGGAGATGCCTCATTATATAGCTCGCATATCTTATCACAGACCACATGGTTAGACGCATATCCACTGCTACTTAGAGAGCGATCCTCAACAATGATACAGAATCTAAAGACTGTGGGGTTCTTGAAACTGAGCCACTTCACATAACCATAATGGATATCCTGATTTCCCTGACACTCATGAACATGCGCCATACATCTTGATATTAGTGATATAGATCCTGACTTAAGGGTTGGTATTCTTACCTAAAGTGCAAAGTTCGGTAATAGCGCAGCTTCTGTGGTTAAGCTTTGTTTTTTAATGGATTGCAAGAATTATAGGTTTTGTTTAAAAGGTGCCCAGTAGAGGAAACGGACCCAGGCTATTATACTGGGATTATCTAGTCCTAGGAGAAAGTTTTCTGGGCGACCATTTGTCTGGCATATTGACATCAATACAGAGATTACCTACGAATAGGCATGATACTACGTCCAAAGACAAGCATCGGACCAAGTGGCCACAGAATTAAGAGCTATGCATTGTTGAGTGTTTGGGGATATTGCATTACCTATATGTTAGACCGCGGAAGTTATTAATATGTTTGCGGCAAATGCGCTTTGTTCAGGTGAAGTTCGTGATGGAATTTTACAGGATCATTGTAGGCATCACTCTCGCTCTATTCCACAAGTTATAGTGGTAGCCTTGGTGTATACCTTTTTGTTTCGGAGGCCAGGCAACCGGATATATTTAAATCACAGGAGACTATCGAATCATTTAAATCTAAATACTTACTAACATTCTCAACCCTCACGTAGTTTAGCTGCAGGCAGCCGCTCCCAGGTAAATTCATCTGGCCCTTTCCCTCCCATTTGAAATCGAATAATGTCAGCATTTCACACACCACAACCAATACATCAATCCATGCATCAATAATGGCAACTCCCACTTATGCTCTCTCGGTCAACATCTACGGCCGTGGCGACGCCACACTAGGCGACGGCCCCTCACACATGGGCATCGCCATGTACAAGATCGGGTCCCCCACCTGTTCAATGCACCACATCCGCAACCCTAACGATAGAGACTTCATCTATGACCCGCGCACTCAACCTCTAGAAGACGACCCTGTCTTACGCGGCCGATGCGAACTCACTACCTTCACAACTGCTGCACAAAAGGACCACGCAGAACAGCTCCTATTTAACTTCGGACGTAATGACGCCAATATCCCCGAATTCGGGGTTGGCAATTGCCAAGATTGAGTAGCGGGGGCTATCCAGATGTTGGAGAAAGAAGGCGTGGTGTCATCCGGAGAAGGTCTATTCTGGGAGGAGATGATTAACTTAAGTGCCGATGCTATGCAGGATCGGTGTGAATGGACTGGGAGGACGTGGGTTCCGGGTCTGGAACGGGTGTTTGAGGGGGAAGCTGATGCGAGGTTTGTAGATAAGGGCGGATTGAGGCCTGTTGGTCGGTTGAGGCAGAATTCTGTGTTGAGGGAGCGGATGCTGGCGCTTGAGGGGAGTTTTCCTACCAAAGAGTCTAGGAGAATAGAGGAGGATTTGTCTGGGGAGAGGCCGTTTTATGTGTCGAGTCCTTTCTTCAGCCGTACGGGCAAGATCCCTGAAAGGGAGGGGGACGGTACATCTGATTCTGCTGATGCTGCTGAGGGGAGCAGCCCTTCTACCAATTGAGGGTATGTGAGGCGATAGTTATGTAAATTTCTGATTAACTGTAGAATATTTTACCCGATTATCCATGTATCCTGCTGCATTGTTGCAAAGTCAAAAGAACAATACGGCTATATGGTATAACCCAGTTTCTCAGGAATATAGGATGTCTTCAGTTTAACAACCAACATATATCACTTATCTGGAACGATACGCATGGTGTCGTTTAGGGAGTATGGATAGACCTAGTGTCTCATTGATCCATTGATCCCGTATATGTCCAGTGAATATCATACTTCGATAGTGTGGAATTCACATATCCTGTTCTCACATCTAGACCGGTTCAAGAAAGCCTTATGTTGGGATTGTCTCGTAGAATATCCCTACAATTCTATATAGTAAGCTTATATTTACAAACCACCTTGAAGAATCTGGAGACATACGGAGTGAACTTTCCTCTTTGATCTTCACCGTATACTCAATGTCTAGTATTGAACAGTATAGGATGTCCAGTAATAGCGCACTCGTTTTGTCTAGTCGAATTGTTCACTTCCATATTAGTGAATACAATGAGGCCTTCTCTTTGTAAGGAAAGTAATCCCTCCACCACCTTTTCTTTTTTCCCACTCAGCTCACCACCCTCTACCTATCTAAGCATCATAACTTGGCGTACCGTGTGGTCCTTCTTAATGTACCGATTTACTATCAAATTTGGTTGCGACAAATTTGTCATCGAGGTAGGCAGCCCAGCCCTCCCCCAACACTCTTGCTAATCCTAGCATCTGCCATTCCCTAGATTAATAACGGCAACCAACTTATTTCTGACCTGATCGAGGTGGCGGATGATAAATCTATCCCCCGAGATTCTACTATCAAGCCCGAATTTCAACTCAATAATAACTCAGTGCGCCTTAGCTCCAGAGCCACCATTGCTTCAGTTTTCGGGGAGGACCGCACCGCCACCTTCCCTATACTCACGCTGAGTCTCACTGAAGACTCCTACAATGAGTGTTTGAAGAGGCTCTCAACCAGCAAAGATTTAATCCTTGCAGTGGACCTAGAAGAGATCCCTCTTTGGGACTGTAGGCCGTATTACGAGAGCAAGATATATGACATCCTCCCGGTAGTGTCATGTATAAATCCTACATATCAAGCGTGGCTGTTAGGAGAGTTGGATAATTAGTCAGGTGGGCCGATCGAGGTAGAATTCGTTTTCTCTAACATACTGGGATACCTGGAGATGTCTGAGTTAACAGTTGGCGGTACCGAATGATATCACGATTCACAGGTATGTTTATTCCATCCCATATTCTTGGGATGGCTGTTGATCTTGCAGAGCATGAAAGTGTCAATGCATAAAGCCTTCTGGAATTTGGGGCCAGTGGAATTGGTTGCTGATGTGTATTTAGGTGGTTCAGTTTTGCACAGCGATTCTATCTGTGGGAAACAGCCGTTGGATATGTACCTTCATTTATGTTGATTTTTCTTAGCCTCTCCATGATCAGATAGTTAACACTAGATTAAATGAACCTGCTACGTACTAGTTACCACATGCCCAACCTTGTCTAAAAGTTATATGGGTATCCATACAATTCTTGGGATTTATTTCGACCATACTGGTCGTGGTAGTGCTCCCCTTCCCTTCATGTTGGCCTGTATTATTTGTACTTACTATGAAGCCTTAGAGGGTATTATTGGCAGTTGCCGTTTAAGATAGAAGGAAAGGTTATTACAGCATACTGATTCTTTCTACTGAGAAGTACAGTAATAGATAGATTAATCACCATATACACTAATATTGATATACCTAATACTACCCATCGTACCTACCATCAGTACCTACAGTAATAGGATCAAGTCCAAATGGATCCCGATAGAGGAGACAAGACAGTTTCTTTTACCAGATATTGACCCGATCACCGTTTCGGGTTGCGGAGTCTGGTGAGGGCGCTCTGGTTGTCTGTATGTATTTCTATCAATCAATCAATCAATCAAGATTCTATTAACCTGTTCGAGCCTAACTACTGAACGTCTAGCTATGTAGGTGCGTCAGAAGAGCCTAGAATCTAACCGTAAAACGCCATATGCCCACAAAGGAAGTAATCGAAAGCGTTTATCACAACTAAACCTGTCTGCCACTTGACAGTCCCCTGAATCCCGTCTTCCTAGTCCCTCACCATCCTGCGTCCTTGGCCCCTTCTAGTGTCTCTTAGTAGGTAGGTATTGGTGCGCGTACTGAGAGGGTTTGACGAAGTCCTCCCTGGTGTAACTGTTTACGCATCGTCTTCCACATCTGTCCCCCTTTCGTAGTGACCAGTTTGCTCAACGTCTCTAAACTGACTGAGCAGTCCTGTTTGGTGTATAAACTCAGCGACGTAGCGCATCTCCTGCGGATGGCATATAATCCCGTTATAATCCATCTTGCCTCGGACCCTTGGATCCAGTCTATCCAACATAACCCTCCTAGACTCGATGTAGTGTATGTATTTCTACCACCCCGTAGAAACACAGGTCCTCTATTGCCAAAAGCAGGGCGAGAACAATCACAATCCCTGCGAGTTTCTGCGGCCGGGACTGTGGCGTGCCGTTCCGGTCCATTAGTATACATATCGCTCCTTAGGCCTCGTTTCTGCTTTATTACAACACCTCACTCCTGCCACACTTTCCTAAGTTCAGCAACAAGGCCCCTGGCGGGAAATTTGCTAATCCTCAGCATCTTTTCCAAAATATGGAGCAGCTCACCCCGCCTCTCAGGCGACCGAACGAACTGGCCAACTTGGGTTTGGTCAGCAAAAACAGCAACGAGATCAGGGAGACACTTACCTCCAAACAAAGCCTGTACGTTAACAAATGCCATTGCGAATTCATGTTCCTGACAGGCATTGGCAATGCCGCAGACCATCTTGACACACTCACTAAGCTGCTTGTCGCGGAGGCAGTAGGCGTTTAGTCCACCCATCGTGGGTTGGTTCAGCAGCACCGTGGCTCTGGCAAAATTGTACATCTGCATAGCGCCTGCGTGGCTAGGTGGGTGAATCCATACAGGAGGGAACACAGTAGTATTCGAAGGAGGATCCATGGCGACGGTGACCGGCTGGTAAGAGGCCGGGAGGACACGATACCAATCGTCGAGAGCGCAGAGCAGCCGATCGCCCTGCTCAATTCTGTGTCTTGGATCCTGATTTGACGTCTCACTCGAAGCGGCATATGCTACGCACTTACCACAAATGTAGACTATTCTTGTTGCCAGCTCACCCGAATCAAGCTCCTCGAGCCCTTTACGAGCACGCCAGAAGGTGAGGGTTGGTCGCCCTGCCCGGAAGGCCGCCCAAATGTCCTGCCGGAGCCATGCCCACCACACGGCCTGTCTCAACCCGTCAACAGACTCGCCATCATTGTCCTGGGATCGCTGTATCCAAAAGGAGCCTCGCAGGTGTTTCTCCCAGTCACCGCTGGTCGTGGCGCTGTCGGCGTCGAACATCTCGTACGTGCTGATCATGGTGGCTGTTGCCAATATCTCATGCGAATCCGCATAGGAGGGATAGAGTAGTGTCTGTGAGAGATATTGGAGTGTTTCATAGTAATACTGTGTAGCCATGTGTGCTGGAGCACCGTCTACTTCTGACGACGGGCCAGTCGCTGTTGATAGGGAAGCTGGAGCACTCGCGTGTGAAGCCGCATAATCGCCTGGCACATCTTCACCAGGCATATGCATGAGGCCGAGAGACATGTGCTTGGCTCCAACTGCGAGTATCGACTTCAAGAGCCCTGTGTTTCGTAGGGCGAGATGGGGCACGACATTGCTGAAATGCCGAGCGGGATCAAACAAATCTAGGATTGGCCCAACAACTTCGATGTAGTATCGAAAGAACCTGACGTCGACTGCCGATAATTCTATCCTACCCGTTGTGTTCCAAGGATCGGGTACATGGTGTTGATTTAGTAAAGGGGCTTCGATTCTGTCGTCTCCGTGTTCCAGCGCAGCAACCTCTTCCTCCTCCTCCTGTTGATGCTGCTGTTGCTGCTCAGAGTACCTGTTGGATTGCTCGGGGTGGGTCTCAGGACGTTCAGGGGCTGGCGACTGTCTACGAGAGAGGGCAATCTCTGGAAACTTCCATCGTGGGTCGCCCGTTGAAGCATCGTTCAGCCGTTGAATGTTGCTAATGGCATCCCGTGCTAACAGATCGTACCACTCGAAAGGGGAGATGTTGAGCAGGGAGATCTGGCTAAGCGAAAGTGGAGAAGTCGAAAAGCCCGATTCAAGGCCGGACAATCCTTGGTCATTGGTTTCATTCGAGCCGTTAGGGTTCTCAGTAGGGGCTGAGCAGGTAGCCTGATGATAGTATGCCGCTGTACTAACACTTGGCAGCTGCTCCCGGGAGCTCTGTAGTACTTCCGGAGCCCTATCCTCCCTTGAGTCTGGTTGCACCCTTGGAGGAACATACTCGGCTCCAGCTCCGTCTCCGGTTGCATGTCGCTCAGGAGCGACCGGGGCATATCGACAGATTCGATCTGACTTGGAACACCGCATGCACGTGGGCTTACCATCGTCACACTTCACGCGTCTCTCCCTGCAAGTGAGGCTGTCATGCGTGTAAGCAAGTTTGATGTTCGCTTACGGGGGTATTCGGGATTAACCGAGCTGCGTAAACTCACCATCCTGTCCTGGTTCTCAAGCCACGGGCCCGAGACGGTCTGATACGGCGACGCCTCCCCGTCGAGACACTCTCAGTTGTTGACTTTCGTCGTGCGGTGCAAGTAACGTCCATTGATTCATTTGTCTGATCTGTGGTATCGTCTCGAGGGCACTGGCCTACTTAATATTCCTCGGTATTCATTTTATTCCCCCCGCTTTGGCTTGACCCACTTCAAACCTTGGGGTACGATTAGCGGGAGACGAGGAGCCACTAACTCAGTTTAACTCCCACTGTCGTCGGCTCAAAGCGCAAAGGCATTTGGATTAGCCTTTTAGGTAGCTGCGCAGCTTGCATAATCTGGACTTTGGCAAGAGGGGTGGCTGGACTTCGTTCATTGCCTGCACCTCCACCAGAATCCATATGGACTCTATCCTACTCCTGTGGGTAGTGAGATACGAATGGTAGTAACATTAGTGTATGTTAGAAGGGAAGTTGGTTGAATTCCTTGTTTAGATTGAATATGTTGCGTGAATGATGAATCCATCATTCAACATGACTGTGGGAAGAACCTGCTTAGGAAGAACAACAGGGCTAGGCCTAAGTAGGCAGCGTCAACAGTGTAGTACCTGAGATGAAGAATCGGTATGCCCTAACGACCTTTTCTTCTTTCTCAAACGGTAACTGCCAACACTACCCTCTAAGACTTCACAGCAAGTATAAATGATACAGGCCAATATCAAGGGAAGGAAATCACTACTACGGCCAATATAGTCGAACCAACTCATCTGAGTAAGCCGGGATAAGTCACCGATCGAAAGTACAGCATACTGCACTGGATGAAAGACGGCAATATTAAACCTCAGAAAACCGATGCATAATATCTACAATGCGCTTTCTCCTCAATTATTGAATGATCAGTCTCCTTTACTTCATTATATTCTCAAGCCTTTGAATATCCTGGGCGTAGAGAAAGGAAAATATACCAACGAACCATTGTCCAGCCAACGCTTGCAATATTTGTTGACACACTGTATAACCGCAATCAAACGGTACGGCAGGCTCGTCGGTCCATCGTGATTCATAACAACGAATATGCCGAAGACCAGGGAAAGCTTAATTAGCCAGAGGAAGGTTCTAGGTGGTCCTAGATTGGAGATATTAGTTCTTCATATACTTGTTACTCATCCTAAAGCAGGAACAGAACCGGGAGAATAGCACCAGACGTGACGCTAGTTGTGTCATGGCATTGATCATCTCGATATCATATGGCCGTTCTCGTTAGTTCAACACTTCCGTATCCTGCGACTATATGTCCAGAGCTGGTGTGGCGAAAAGACTAATTGCGGAGACTCCATCTTTTGTATCAGAGAAAAGGTTGCCAAGATGTCCTTGGTCCTCGAAGCGATGCAACGTGCGGTTCAGATGGTACCTCGCATCGAGACCACGCCCGGCCATCGCAAGGAGCATGATTGACGACTCTCAGATGCTTTGCGTAGATATCTATATGTATATGGCATTTTCATTGCGAAGTTGCACGGACAGAGTCTCACGTCTTCTCTCACGTTTCGGCTCGATGACACTTGGGTTTCTGCCATCACCACTTCTCGCTTTCCATCTTGCTTTCCTCCACACCTTCACTCCCACGACCTCGCCTCGATCCTTCTTCCTTATCTTCGCGTAATGCCCAAGTTGGAGGGAGGGATTCGGCAAAACCGCAAGCCCCGAGGACGCGGGATTCGTGCTACGACTGGTTGGTTAGTGGTCTTCCCTTCCCCGGATTTCGGACCGGTTCGGGTTTCTCACGTAGCCCTAGCCTCATCTGCAAACACCGCCATGTCAAGTGCGATGAAGTATGTGCCCTTCCATGCATACACAAATTGGTCCGATGAGGGTATATATCTGACTCGACCAGGCTCATCCTCAATGTGGTCCCTGTGCAAAAGGCCAACGTCCTTGTGTCTACGCTCCTCAGCATTCGCCGCGTCGGCGGCCTGCTCGGCAAGAGAGTCTTCACGCAGAGGCAAGCACGGGCGAGAATGCGGCAATCCCCACCCCCACACCGTCCAATAGCTATGTACCCTCAGCAGGCACAGAAAGCTCCGTGACAGCACGGGTCGTGCCGTCGAGATGGCTCGAGCTTTCGGCAAAGGATGCCACCAATGCTAATGCCGAGTTTCCACTGTCGCCGCCGCAGCTCTCTCGCAACCGGATTGAGACTGGAGAGAACCTGCGGAATAGTTCTAACCTACGTCCTCACACACTAAAAGAACAGGAGAGCCGTCATGCTGCTGCCTTCCCGAGAGGCAAAGAAATTGAACCGGGAATCGTCTCACAACCACCCGGCACTGCGCCCGTTGCGACTAAAACAACCTCTCTATGGACCTCAAAGTACCCAATTCCTCTTTCAAACTTAGAGCATTATCTTTTCGGGCATTTTGTGCGTATTACAAGCAAATTGCTGGATTTTTATGACCCAGAAATGCATTTTGCAACAACGGTTCCGCACATAGCGCTTCGGAATGTGGGTTTGATGAGAGCATTGCTGGCCCTTTCTGCGCGCCATCTCACGCTGGGAGAAAGTGAGAAAGAGCAGTTTGCTCCCACATCAATTGAAAAAAATGGCATTCCAGGCCGCCAAGAAGATATCATTGATCGCAATCTTGCAGTTGAATACTACTTGGAGACCCTTGCGTATCTGAACAAAGCAATGCAGTACCCGCTTTATGCGCGGAGCTTGGATATGATTGCGACGGTCATCCTGATCAGCACCTACGAAATGATCAACGGCTCAAATCAACATTGGAAAAGACACATAAAAGGTGTGTTTTGGATCCAAAAACTTCAGGAAAACAATGGAGAATCCGGAGGACTCCGGTCAGCCGTCTGGTGGGCTTGGCTTCAACAGGATATCTGGATCGCCATGCGAGAACGACGTCGCGTCTTTAGTCTCTGGAATCCTAAAATGCCAGTGTCCACGCTCACCGCGCCAGAGCTCGCAACGCGCGTCATATACCTGCTTTCCCAGTGTATCAACTATGCATCGAAAGAAGAAGAGAAAGCTTCGAACATAGAACACCGTCTAGACTGGGGAAATAAGCTGCTCTTCCTACTCCAGGAATGGCATGAAACATTGCCGCCAGCATATAGTCCTCTGCCTTCCGTATCCAAGATTGAAATTTTTCCACCGATTTGGGTGAATCCACCATCTTATGCCGCGGCTCTACAAATCCACAGTCTCGCCCTGATCCTTGTCATCTTGCACCGTCCATCCTCCAGCGACCTTGATGACTACCGAGCAGCACAGCATATGCTGGCAGTTTCTGTGAGCACAATTTGCGGTATCGCGAGATCTGTTGATGAAAACGATGATGAGCGAACATGACTTCGCTACACTGTTTATCTGGGGGTAAGTAAAGTTGACCCTTTTGTTAACTCTTCTCACATAATGCTAATGTTTCATAGCGGGGATGTGTGTACACACTCCACATGAACGACTCGCGCTTTTGGATCTTTTGGACACATGTCAACGAAGGGTCCGTTGGCCCCTGGTCTCCCTCCGAAAGGAACTTGAGCTTGAGTACTCAAAAAATGCTTTCAACAGCCTGATGAGATGAGGCACTTGTAACACTTGAGCTGTTGTTATTCAGTTGCATACACCGGACATAGACTAGGGTTAAATGCACCGGCTAACCCCATTTTGAAAGTCTCTAAAGGTATTTCGACCAGAAAGAATGCCATTCCTGGCTAGTAGGTTGATCTCTACGACTCGTGCCATCTGCTCGCGTCCAATTCACGCTACCATTAGGTTGACAAACAGCAAAGATGGGGGCTAGTATGCAAACCTTGAGTTGGCTTCCTGCAAGCCAAATAGGCTGGTTACTGGCAATGAGTTGGACGAACGATACTCGCCGATTCGGGAGGAAATGATGCTCAAGCGTTCCTGCTAATAAGCCTGGATGTCTGTTCAGATACTTATGGGATTTAACACCTGAACTTTCAGAGCCATACTGCTTTACGTGCCGCGTTGTATCTATTCCAGTCAATAAAGATTCTATTAACCTGAGAGAACCTAAGTATTGAACGTCTAGCTATGCAGGCATAGTAGAGACCCTCCTACACCTATTTGTGGCCCCTTAACTATCATCTTCCACATCTGCCTTTAGAGTCAATTTTTCTCTCAATCCTATAAATTCTCACTGTCGCTACATAAATGATTCACATATATTCACAATCACTACCTCCATTCAAACATTCAAGATCCGACATCCAACACAGCAGAACGTCATCCATCACTGAATGATCCCCTCCCTCAAACGACGCCGAAACCAAATATGCAAGAACAAAAACACAACCACACCCACCGCCAACATGGCTGAAATAACCGAAAACCCCATAATATACTTCGGACTATCATCCTCCGGGAACAAATACTATCACAAAATCCTGGTCAGCCTTGCGCCCCAAAACAGGTACACAACAAGTTCAGTGAGAATATCAAATTACATACCGATCCATAGATCTGTGCCAGATTACCCAGTGCGTTCACCATAGCTAATGCAACACCTCGGGCTTGTGGGTGCATCCCTGCAAAGGCAGAGGAGGCATAGGCTAGTGTACCTCCATTTGTAGCCCAGAGGCCGGCGGCCATGATAACTAGGAGGATATATCGGGCTGTGAAGTTGTATAGAGCGCAGACAATCACTGAGCACATTAGGGAGATAGTTAGCCAGCCGGCAATGATTAGCCCGCGCCAGGTGGGGACTTTGTCGCTGTAGTAGGAGGTGATGCCGGTGGCGATGAATGCTACGCCGTAGATTGGGACGGTTAGTAGGTTGACTTTCTTGGTGGATGCATTTCCGAAAAGTCCTTCGACGAGGGTTGGGTAGAAGTAGGTTAGGGTGCTTGAACCGACGATGACCTGTGGAGGAGGATGGTGTGGTTAGTAATTGGAGGTTGAAGATGAGCGTCATGAGAGTTGGGGGAATGGAAAGCGACGAACCATGTATCCAATTATGAAGGCCCAGGTGCGCCAGTTTTGGCATGCCACTTTACAAGCTTCCAAGGGGCTCAGATGTTCGGTATCCTCAGTGGTAGCGGTGACATTTTCAGTGGCTAGGCGTGCCACGGCGACCTGTTTCTCGCGCTCGGAGTAATGTCGCGACGTGGCCGGGAAGTCGGGAAGGATGAAGAGGGATATAATAGCGAAACCGACAGTGGCGGCGCCTTCAATAATAAATAGCCATCGCCAACCACGAATACCATGGACGCCTTCAAGGCCATCGACGATTCCGGCAGCGATCAGACCACCAAAGGCACCAGAGAGAACGGCTGCTGAGATGAACACACCGAATCTCTTTGACTGTTCCGTTTGTTTGTACCATGATGACAGGATAAGTAGCACACCGGGGGCAAAGCCGGCCTCGACACATCCGAGGATAACTCTAAGGACTACCAGGTGGGTGAAACTTTTGACAACAGCCATCACACAAGTCAATGCGCCCCAGAGAATCATGATTGACGGAAGGAAAATAGATGGCCGGGATCGGCCCAGGACAAGGCTGTAGAAAGCGCAGTTAGCGTTGATGATATGAGGTTGAGTACTGAGGACCAATGATGGGATGGTCGTACTTGCTAGGCACCTCGAAGATCACGTATCCGATGAAGAAGACTACCAGGGCAATCGAGTATTGGTTGGACGTCAAGTCGAGATCTACCTCCATACCAGAGATCTTTGCATTTCCGATACTGTACACAACGCCCGTTAGCCCCTAACAGGGTATCCAGTCTCTACTTAAGATGCTCCCACTTACTTGGTTCTATCAAGGTAGGACAGGAGGTACATGATCCAGATGGTGGGCAGGAGGGTGAGGTCAATCTTCCTCACCAACGCCTTCTCCTCCTCCGGGGTGAACGAGACTGCCTCAGCAGTGTTCACATTCTCAATCTCATGAGAGGAGACGTCCTTCATGTTGCCCTCAACGTCGGATAGGTCCATGATGGCTTGTTGGAAGGGCTGAGGGTTAATGAAGAAAGGAATAAAGAGGTCATTCGGACATCAACCTTCTTACGGGGTGTTTATGTTTCACCTCCTACCCCAGATATACAAGGCTAGGGCTTTTGGACTAAAAGTCACCTTCGACTTTTAGCTCATCAGTCCACCGGCCATGTTCCGGATTGACTTTATCCACCCCCACAACTTCATAGGCGCCACTTCCCGCTCTCCACAGTCTGGGCAACCTTATACGATTACCGCGTGAAGGGTATCGTATCGAGGCCCATGTGGAGGCTCTCATCAGCGCCAATCATACCTCTCAGAACAAGTTCTGATATGACGAATTATTTACCGTCCTCAACAACCGAAGTTTCCAGGACGTCAAACCGACGACTCGACTTCTATCTCCCGCTTTCGACTTCACCTACTCTTCACTGCTAGGCTGACCGTTGGGATGGGAAACGTCTCGTTGGGGCTTAGATGGGACTAAAAACGGGCACGGATTTATGGGAAATGGGAACCCTTTATTCATCCCAAAATTCAAAGGAAATACTACGAAATGTACGAGATCGAATATAGCTTTTAGACAAGGTTAGGATTATGGTAAATAGTACGTAGCAGGTTCGTTCAATATCAATACAGAAAGAATATCAGTACTATTTCAGTGGAACTCTAAATCACCTTATACGCGTTATCCGTGAATATCTTTCATCGTTATCATAAATCCAGTCCCTTACCACGCTCCCACAATACCAGCAATCGGAATATCAATCCCAGTCGTGTACGACGCACCATCAGAGAGCAAGTACACATAAGCTCCGCCGAGCTCCTTGGGGTCGGCTAATCTCGGCATGCCGCCATAGTATTGCATCTTGAGGTCCCAGTCCGGCGCTTGATCCACAAAGTAGGTCATAGCAGTCTTTATAAAACCAGGTGAGATTGAGTTGACGCGGATACCATGCTTGGCCCACTCCATGGCCAGCGTATGTGTCATGTTCCGGACGGCACCCTTGGTAGCTCCATAGGGAGCCGAGGGCGCCGCGCGGTTGGGGCGATAGGATGTCATGGAAGCAGTGAACACGATGGAACCCTTGATTCCCAGCTCAATGAACCGGCGGGCAACGGCGGTAGCGCAGAAGTAGGCTCCAAAGACGTTGAGGTTGAACAGTTGGTCTAGCTGGGCGCGGGTGAAGTCGAAGGCGGGCTGGTGCTTTGTCATGTCGGCGTTTGCGATGAAGCCGTGGATGGCACCTCGTGCGGTGATAACGGCGTCGATCGCGGAGGTGACGCTCTCCTCCGAGGTGACATCGCAGTGGACGTAGGATAGGCGCTTCGGGTTGGCCTTCTGCAGGGCGGCGAACTCCTCACCGGGTTCGAACACGTCCAGGCTGAAAACGGCTGCAGCCTCGTTGGCTAAACAGACCTCTGCGAGGGCTAGGCCGATGCCCCTATTGGCACCCGTGATAGCAATGACCTTGTTCTTCAACGTGATTCTCCAGTCGTGGTCTGGACCTGGCTGGGTGTCAAGGAAGGTGGGTGCCGTATTGGAGGTCGTTTGGGCTGGTGTTACGGCGTTGCTGCCGTTGCCACTGCTAGTGGCGGTGTCGAGCATTTCTGGAGGCATTATTGAAGATCTGTCTATGTGGTGCAAGAGTTAGGGAGGCTTAAAGGATTGAGTTGAAGATCTTGGGCTGGGAGGGTTCCTTTTTAAGTCCACCATGGTCTTCTATCCCGCCGGACGACTCCGATGCCGCCTAAATGCATGCAGAAGTGTTTCAATAGACCGGAGACGCGCGGTTCCATTGACGAATGGGACAGTCCAAAGATGCCTTGCGCGCATCATCGAGAACTACTACCCCAGGTCTCTTTTTTCGCGCTGCGAGAAGAATGCAATTGACGAACCAAAGGCGCGGGTGGGCTCTCGATGCGAAGGCCAGGGCCTCGATGCGAGGGATTCTCCCCGACCACCATGACCACTTCACAGCAAAATAGCAGTATTGTGTAGACTGTATAGACTGACTCTCAGAGTCTCTACAGACTTGATTTTCTGCTATTGGCGATTTGACACTACCAGGTTTAGGTCGTTCATGACTTCGCCTCGATCTCGAACAGCCACGATCCAGTATCAGTGCAATGCATCGATCCTAGTACAGGCGATCGATGTGGGAATCATCATGTCTTGAATATAAAAATTGGCAGTCCCCTCGACTTCTTCAGCTATCTAGTTGCAACTTGGTATCACCAAGCACTATTCTTCAACAACTATCTCCAGTCTCACAGTCAGCCTTGACCTTTACACCATGGCACCTACGCTGGAGCTCCTCGAGGAGCCTACCGGAATTCCGCCGGTCAAGACAGCCTCAGCCATCCGCAATGGGGCTTCTACTGCTGGCGATCTCCAACTAGAAAGCCCAGAGAAGCATCAGCGAGTGATGAATGTCTTCAGAGCCGTCATCGCTGATATCTGCCAGCAATATGGTGAAGGCCACGCTGGGTAAGTCGACACCCTCTTCAGGGTTTCCAGTCTTCGCAGCGTGCGCTAACTAGACCTTGTCACAGATCTCCCATGGGCATGGCTGCCATTGGCATTGCCCTGTGGAAGTATGTCATGAAATACTCCCCAAAGAATTGCAACTACTTCAACCGGGATCGCTTTGTTCTTTCGAATGGTATGTCCCCTGCACCCACTCTAGTTGTCCGTAGCGATATGTGCCTTAACTAAAATGAGGATAGGCCATGCCTGCCTGTGGCAGTACCTTTTCCTGCACCTTGTTGGTGTCAAGAGCATGACACTCGAGCAGCTCAAGTCCTACCATTCAACAAAGCTTGACTCGGTCTGCCCTGGCCACCCCGAAATCGAGAACGAGGGCATAGAGGTCACCACTGGGCCCCTCGGCCAGGGCCTCGCCAATGCTGTTGGCCTTGCCATGGCCACTAAAAACCTTGCCGCTACATACAACAAGCCCGGCCATGACGTGGTGAGTAATATGACATGGTGCATGGTCGGTGACGCTTGCCTTCAGGAAGGTGTTGGTCTCGAGGCACTCTCCCTCGCTGGTCACTGGAGGCTAAACAATCTCTGTGTTATATTCGACAACAACTCGGTTACGTGTGACGGAACTGCGGACGTTGCCAACACCGAAGATATTAACACTAAGATGCGGGCTACGGGCTACAACGTGGTAGACGTGTACAATGGAGACTCGGACGTTGCCGGTAGGTCTCGGAAGATCCTTTAGCTTAGTGATATCAGCTCTACTAACGCACAAATCAGCCGTCGTGAATGCCCTTGTTGCCGCTCGAACAAGCGACAAGCCCACCTTCATCAACATTCGCACCACAATTGGCTTCGGATCCGCCATAGCCGGCACCGCCGACGTACATGGAGCTGCCCTCGGAGTCAATGAAGTGGCCAGGCTTAAGAGGTCGTTTGGCCTCAATCCGGAAGAGCACTTCCACATTCCTCAGGACGTCTACGATTTCTTCAGTGACATTCCTAGCCGGGGTGAGGCGCACGAGGCGGCCTGGCAAGCGGCTCTCGTCAAGTATCATGAGGAAAACCCCGTGCTGGCGGCTGAATTCGAGTTCCGTGTCGCGGGAAAGTTGCCTGGAGACTGGACCAAATGCATTCCTCGCAAGGAAGAGCAGCCTACTGCATCCACGGCCTCACGAAAGTCCGCCGGCGTCGTGACCAACGCCCTGGGACAGAATATCAATTCATTCTTGGTCGGCACAGCCGACCTGACTCCCTCATGCAATGTCGCATACAAAAACAAGGTCGACTTCCAATCTGTGAGTATACAGTGTCTAGTCTTCCCTTTTTCAGCTACAAAGCAGGAGTATTAACATAGAAAAACTAGCCTGAACTCCAAACAGCATGCGGTCTGAACGGAAACTACAGCGGTCGATACATTCACTACGGTATCCGCGAGCACGCCATGTGCGCCATCTCCAACGGCCTCGCTGCCTTCAACAAAGGCACCTTCATCCCCATGACAGCCACTTACTTTGTCTTCCATTTGTACGCCGCCGCCGCTGTGCGCATGGCCGCACTTCAAGGCCTCCAGCAGATCCACATCGCCACTCACGACAGCATCGGTGTTGGCGAGAACGGACCTACGCATCAACCCGTCGCCGTGGCTGCCCTCTACCGCGCCATGCCCAACGTGCTCTACATCCGTCCCTGCGACGCTGAAGAAGTGGCCGGCGCCTACATCGCCGCCATCCAGGCCACTGAGACACCTACAATTATCTCCCTCTCCCGGCAAGGCCTGACCCAGTACCCCCAATACTCCTCGCGTGAGGGCACCCTCAAGGGTGCGTACGTCTTCGTCGAGGCCGAGGACGACGACTTCGATGTGACTTTGATCGGAGTCGGGTCTGAGATGGGATTCGCGATGCAGACTCGGGAATTGCTTCTCAAGGAGCATGGTATTAAATCCCGGGTTGTTTCCTTCCCTTGCATTAGGCTTTTCGAGCAGCAGTCGCGAGAGTACAAGCATTCGGTTTTGAAGCCGCGCGCTGGAAAGCCCTCTGTCGTGATCGAGGCGTACCCGTCTTACGGATGGGAGCGCTATGCGGATGCTTCGGTGTCGATGAACAGCTTTGGAAAGAGTCTTCCTTCCAAGGAGATCTACGAGCACTATGGATTTGCGCCGGAGAGCATCACACCTAAGGTCAAGGACCTGGTGGAGGAAGTCAGGCGTGACGGTATTGGGGTCCTAAGGGGTGACTTTAGGGATTTCAACGGTGGCCTGCGGATTGGTTTGGAGCATTAGAAGAGGGTACAGGACATACGAATGATGCGCGTCTCTTATGAATGTATATAATGACACACCTAGAATGGATTACAAGTCTTTACAAACTCTAGTGCCTTGCACTGACCGGCACAGTGGTCTTCGTACAGTATGTAACAGTCGCAAACTCGGCGACGCTGTAGTGACTGGAATATTCAAGCATACTAAATGAAATTTCTCTAGTAGATAACTCTATATTTCTTTGAAATTTCGTCCAACTTAATTTAAATTTTATAGCCTCAAGAGCTCCATGATTCTCGTGGATCTGTGAAAACTGCCAGTTTGGTAGTCGAATCTGTTAACGTGTTTGACCACCTATAAGTAGTCACTCTATCTCTAGTTAATACGGCTGCTACAGGAAGCGGACATTTGAAGCTATCTATATTTCAGGCGGTCACTCGCCTTGTTACTGACTTCGGACCAACATTCTCGGCCGGAGCCCTAATGAATGTCATAATGCATGTACATCTCCTAATGCGGCTGTTCACAACGAACCATTTCTCTCGGGCTGTCTACATTCATTCATGCCATGGACGTGCAACACCAAACGATAAGAAAAACAAGCTTTTGAAATACAAATCCTACTAATGATGGGAATGGAAGGGAAAGAACTGAAGTGAACCGAAACATGGCACCACGAAGTATAAATTAAATCCATCGCAAGCAACAGGTCCATGCAACGGATTGCCACATCGTCACTACGACTCGACACAACCTATCTAAATTATGAAGGACACCACCAGCACACACAAGTAACTATGCATCCAAATTTGCTTCGACTTCGCCGATTACTGTTCACCGAGCCAAAAAAGCATCCACCATCGCTGACCGATGGAAGAGAGAAGTGGCTGGTTACTTCGCACCCTATTTCCGAAAGCGGCGCTCCGATGCAACCATAAATCTCTCGTGGCTTTCTCCAACCGACTTATCCTACCCAATATGTCCAAGAATCCCCAAGAACCGTCTATGAAATGCAACCCCGGAACCGAAACACAAGGGAATTCTTAGACCGTTCAAAAAAGATTCCAGATCATGGGTGGGCATTTGTGACGCAAGGGGGGGGGGGGGGGGGGGGGGGGGAAGGCGGATGAAAGTTACCACGTACTCAAAACTCATAAATAAAAAGGCCCAAACTCCCCCCGACACGATCCAGGCATTCTTGGGTAGTTCGACCGTTAAACATATTACCAATCACTCGTTTGTGCAGACTGTTGCTTGGACCAGCCGCCAGCCATGTCGGAGACTAATCAGCGTTTGATCGTCATCACTATCAACGGCTACCGCAAACCCGGGTTGACGGAGGAAGAGCTCCACCATCACCTTTGCAAAGTACATGCACCGAAGGCCTCGCCTTTCTTGGAGAAATATGGGATCCTGGAATACAATGTGGTTAGTTTTGGGGCATTTACCCTGTGGCTTTTTTTGTGAAAGATGCAATGCATTGCATACGTACTAACTGGGTGATATTGCAAGATCGATAACTTCAATGCCGCCCGTCCACATGCCGAATACCTGCAGATGTCGAAGAAGCTCTCTGATCATGACTATATCGTTCAGTTTGTAATGAAAGACGTCGAGGATTTCAAGAAGGTCTGGGAAGATCCGGAGTTCATTAAAAATGTCATGCCTGACCATGAGACCTTTGCGGATACGACTCGCTCGGGGTATGTTCTCTTTATTTTACCATTTTCTTTTCCTCTGCATCACCACTAGCTTTAGCTTACACGGAATAGCGTCTGCATTGGATACATGACCAGCTTCTTGAATGGGGGGAGAGACCCACAGGGCCGGCGGAAGAACTGAAGGAGATGGGAGTTGAGTCTATGGTTCTATGGCGTTATGAGTTTTAAGCTGTTCATCAAATAATTCGGGTTTTTATTTCATCTTGATTAATTCTACGAGATATAATCAATTTAAGCCCAATACAATACCCCACCACCGTGGATCCTCCCTCAACCCGTACCCTAGTGATATCTGAAGATCCAAAAAAGAAAGAAAAGAAAAGAAGAAGAAAACCAATAGAACAAACATCCCTTGCAGATCCAACCCCCCAACCCCAAATAGCCCCTTATTGAAAGAAAAAATAATAATAATAATAATAATAATAAAAGTGACCAGACATCCCAGACCAGGGACACTATGTAGGCAAAAACAGGTCCTGGCAGCAACCACCGCGGCAGCAGACCCCTGATAATTGTGACAGGTATCACACAGCGACCTATACATAGTATCTGTGCAGCCTTGAATTGCGCTTTTGGCCTCTACTATTGCAGCTACATTCCAATGACCCCACAAAGCCATGCTATAGCTGTCTCCTTATCGATGCATATTGGGTATCCTAAGGCGCTAGGAGGGCACGTCCCTGGCAGCTGACATGGCATATAGTCAGGAGTAAACATGTCCCCCAAGGATATCTATACTAGACTATAAAAGATAAGAAAAGCTCAGGTTCTCGGATTCTAAGAATCAGCTTCACATCCCGTAACTCGAGGACTGCAGGAGAGGACAAGCATTACTACCCAAATGAAGTTTTCTCTCGCCGTCTCTCTTACAGCCCTTGTGGCCGCCGTCGTGGCCCAGCAAGTCCCGCCGTGTGTCGTACGTTGCTTGTCTCGTGCCTCCTGGTCATGATTTTTGTATACTGACGAAAAGGCTCAGGACGTGTGCTTTAGGAAACAACAAGCTTGCCCTGATGAATGGGACCTTAAATGTCTCTGTGAGGATGAGCAATTCCACATTGAAATGACACAGTGTATGCGTGGGGATTATGGAGAGAGTGGGGAATGCTCGGAGGAGGATCAATTCAGTAGGTTTCACATATCTTTCACGTAAAAGCGCTTCGAATGCTTGACTTTGGGCTAATTGTTTCGGTAGTTGCGCGGATACTCCTGGATGCTGCCTGTGGTGCTTGAGCGTTGGGAGGGGTGGCTTAATGGACTTGGAAAGGATGTGTGGTTGGAGATAGATGTATGCTATCACGATGATAAAAGGCTAAGATGACGGACCATCTAATTATAGTTTACACATTGAATTGTCTGCGTTTTACATCCATTCTAATCGATACGCAAGTCATTTGTACACAACTTAACAACAACATTGTCAAAAAAAAAAAAAAAAAAAAAAGGAAAAAAAAAAAAAAAAAAAAAAAAGAAAAAAAAAAAAAAAAAAAAAAAAAAAAAAAAAAAAAAAAAAAAAAAAAAAAAAAAAAAAAAAAAAAAAAAAAAAAAGTCCGAGAAGAAGAGAACATGAAACATGACTTCAAGACAATTAACTTTATCACTGCTCCCATTCATCATGTAGCTTCGCATCCATATTGATATAACCCTCCACCACCTCCAACCCCCGTCGTCTCTCCTCTTCAATCATCTCCCACGTCCATTCACTCACATTCCACGACTCTGCATTCGCCTTCTTCTCCTCCTCCAATTTCTTCTCAGGAATATCGCCCTCACTAACCTTCAAAACCTCTCTCACCAATGCCCCATCAACCCCAGCCGTAGCCGTAATGCCTTCCCCAGCGGGCGTCCCAACCCCCGACCCCTCGACCGAACTATCTGGAGCCACCAACACATCCCCGTCCGGACGCTCTGGCAAAAACCCACTAGCCCTGAGCACTCTCTCCGGGGGAACCGTAAGCCGTCCCTTCTTAACAACATACTTGCTAACCGCCGTAGCGAAAAGCAACCTCTTCCCCCCGGCCTTTGCAGGTCGAAGAAAGAAACTCAAAACATACATCCACTTCTGATCCCACGCAATCACCTTGGTCTCAATCTCATAAAGCTCAAAGGGCTTAATCTCCCTCTTGAAAGAACAAAACACCGACCCAAGCGCAACATACATGTTCTTGTGCGCCGGCGGCTTCTTCCCCTCCCGCCGCGCAGCATCGCCGAGCTCAACATCGAGCTCCTGGCTCACGACTCGGAGCCCCGGCGTGTAGAGTCGCGTGACGAGCGCCGTCCGCGAGATGTCCAGGTCGGAGAAATATGTGCTGTTGGACTTGTGGAAATTGTAGTCTGTTTCTAGAATAGGTGTGCGTGATGTAATGGCGTATGGCACAAACACTGGGTGTGTCGGCTTGCCCGTATGTGTGACGAGTGCTTTGCCCCGTGGGAAATGGGGATCTCCGGGCTTGCGCCGGATGTTCCACCAGAGGTGGTGGAGGATGCGGAACTGTGGCCGGGGGGGTTAGTTTGGGGTTTATTTATTTATTTGATTTTTAATTTTTTTTGGTTCGAGGAGGTTTTATGGGGGGTTTTTTCTTTTACTAGGGGTGGGGTTTTGGTGTAATTATGTTCAATGGTTTGGAATGCATATACTTACGTGCCAGACTAGTGGGAGGTTTTTCACATTGATCACTGCCAGAACTAGTGCTAGGGTTTTCCAGGTCATGATTGATGAGACTCTTGGGAGGAGGTCATGGATTGTATCCGCGTGGAGGGACAGGGGGAGACCCATGTTGGGGTAGAGCTTATTTTTCTGCTTGTTCGTTGTCTGTAATTTCGTTGTATATGTTGATCCCGGGAACCCGAGTGGATGTATAGTAAAAAAGGAGTGCAAGGATGTGGAGGAGATCTCGATAAGGCTGAAGATTCACCCCGTTGGCAGTTGTACAAATGTCACCGCGACGAAATCAAGACCAAATCGTGTAACGAGTCACCACGCGGATTATTAAAGGACTGAAATCTCCAAGACTACACATTTCAGCTACGGCAGCAATCCGAGTCAGCCTGTTGAAACGTTGGGAAAATGAAACCGAGGCATATATCACGTGCACGGACCGAAGTATGGCTTATCTAATGTCGCAAGAATGCGCATCATGAACCGTCATAAGCAGTCATAAATTGCGAGGAAAACGGCCTATAACCTAAAAGATGGCCATACAATTAGGCGGGCTCGAAACGCCATTGGCACAATTCAGTGGGCTACTGGAAATAAAGAACGTCCAGCGCCCCAGTTGCTTGCATGTCTCCGCCAACTCCTCCAGGTCGAACATCTCGCCGATCGGCAATCCCCAACCGGCAAGCATATGATGATGCAGATCAAACTCGGGGTTGAGGGGCGGGAAGACCTCGAAACTAACCGCATCGGATGCCACCGCTGCAAAGTGGTTATCCCACATAAACCGGAGTACATTCTCACTCTGCTCAAGTCCCGCATGCTTGGGCACCGTTTGCTGGCTGTATTCCTGCTTCTGAGCGTCGCTCATGGAGTACCAGGTCTTTGTGAGGCCCACGCGGAGAAAGAAGATGTCTCCTCGTTGGAACTCGATGTTACATTCGCGTGCGATGGCTAATACGTCGTCCAGAGGGACCACATGCTGGCTGAGTCCATTGACGGCAATGCCCTTCTTCTCGGCCCAGGATAAGTAGTCAATCAAGACGCCCCGACCGGCGATTCCCTTCTTAGCCCAGTACCCAATACCGATACGCGATGAGTTCGAGTCCTGAATTTCTTCTGCTGTAGTACCACCGTAGAATACGCGGCGAGCTTGATCCTCGGGCGTCGGGGCAGGTGCACTATGGTGTCGGAGTCCATCCCACTGGGATGATTGCTGGGGGTTGAAATGATACTCATCGTCGAACGCAATACCGGGAGCCACCCATTTGATGCGATGTTCGAAGGGCTTTCGGCGGAATCCTACACACTAATTAATGGACCGTCCCCGACAAACTATGGAACCTTATCGCAGCCACAGCAAAAGACTCCCCATGGCAGATGCCAGCGGCTCCCCTACCTGGTGTATCCAACTGTTCCAAGTCCCAGTTTAAACAAACTCTCAGCCCGGTTTGAATCTGTGTGCGCGCGGCGTCCGCGACAATCTCCGGGGTTAGGATGCGAAGCATGCCTAGTCCCTCTTCCGGGGATCCAGCGGCTGCCGGCCAGTATTGTCTCTTGTTGGGGAGATCGTCATATTTCTCGGGCAAATCATCGATTCCGGTTGTCATGGTGCTGATGAAGGGAATGGTTGGCTGAGGGGGATCGATCTAAAAGTCAACAGCTCTGGCGGAAGCATGAAAGTACCCCTCTTGGATTTATAGCATTGCAGAAGTGGGGAAATTAAACTGTTCGGACCATGTCCGAGAACGATAAGTTAGACAAGCAAAGACTTTCGGATACAGTATGCATGCAATCCTGCTCATGGAAGAGGGGATCTCGGTTAAAAAGAACCCATCTCAGTTATTTGCAGACTCCTGATTTTAAGAGTTGACTGTGTAATTTCTACAATATGGTGTGTATTCAAACAATGAAAGATACAGAAAACAGGAAAGGAAATAAGAATACAGCTGTATCCAGCTCACAAGTCATCCGCATCTTGATCGGCAGCTGCAGCTTTACCCTGCTTATCGAGACGAGACATTTCATGCTCCTCACCCCCACGTCCAGAGCCTCCCGGAGTTGACATTGCGATGGCCTGTCGCCCTGTGTCGGACGACTCGAGGAATTCACGTAGCCGCTTCTTGCCCTCTGCTACTGCTTGGTTCGAGGCAGCCTCTGTCATTTTTATGATGGGGCCCCATAGGTTAAGCTGGTAGGTGATGTACGCACCAACAGCACAGACAAACAGGAGGAAGAAGTAGGCCGGGTTGCGGAGCACTGTTAATCCAGTTAGTCTTCAACGGAAGTAAAACAACTCAAGTAATACTCACCAGCAACGATTTCATTCCATCCAAGTGCGATAAGGAGGCCGTAGAAGTACAAGGGCACTTGGGTCATGCCTCCAATGGCGCTCCGTTTAGCCTCAACATATACTCCATCCGCGGCCTTCTTGAAGCGAACGGTGAGCTCTTGGCGCTTGGCATCACTGACAATAGTCATTTCTTCTTCCAAGCTCTTGCCTTCTTCTTCGTCCACCCCGCCAATGGGAGCCAGGTCTTCCTCGTCAGCGGGAGTCGCGGAGCTAGGCGTGTGTCCGATCCAACGGTCCAGAGGGGGCGGGGCAGACGTCTCATCTAGCCGGAACTTGGAAAGAAGAGGGATGAGAGTCAGGGTTGATTCGCGAGCACGAGTGTATATCCCTTCGATATCATCGGTCGGGCGCCAGATCCGAGGAACACCAGCATCATCGTAGCGGAATTTATCCTCAAAGTTTTCGCGCAGCTTCAACAGCAGATTGCCTTCGATCATCTCTTCATCAATCTTAGCGCGCAGAACGCCCCAGGACTTCCTCCGCAGTCTCCAGAGTCCGACGTCCACTTCCTCCAAGCTGGCGTCGAAACTGCTAGCGCGGTCTGTGAATCGCCTCTCGGCATCCAGGACTGTCTCGACAAACACATTCCACACGCGATCCCAGAATTTCTTTTCCGTTGGTTGATCTCCCTTCTCCGGTGCGCCACCACCAGCTCGTCCAGAGCCGAGTGCGTTAAACTCAAGTCCAACAGATTCTCCCAGTCGAGACTGAACCCATCGTTCCACCCGGCCGGCAAGACGTCTCATCTCGTCCCTTCTTAGGCGCGCACTGACTTCCGCAAGCTCCTTTTCATACAAGGCGAGCTCTTGCTTATAGTCACTCCAAGAAGTACCCTCCACCACGGTGGCACGGGCAACTTCCTCAAACTTGTCCACGGCCTTCTTAGCCTCTTCATTGACAATCTCTGCGAAATCGTAGCCGGTGCCCTTCTTCTGGCCGGACTTCACAGCGGCCGACACCGCCTCGCTGAAATCACTGATTCCCGATTTGTGCGCCGCATTAAGCTGACCCTGGAAAAGGGCCTTCAAACGGGTATCGGCTTTGCTTTCAAGCTCTGCCCTTTTGCGCTGGTAGACGCCTTTGTGGTACCGACTAGCCTCAGTCTCAAAAGCCTTGATAGCCTTGGTGCGCGACGATCGCATCGCCGCTCCTAGACCTCCAAGAATTTCCGGTTCTCCAAGGCGAGCGGCTTGCGACTGTTTATCTTCGAAGGGGATGATAGCCTCATCGAAGGCAACCATCACTTCCCTCAAAATCTCGTCACACCTAAACTGTGCAAGCAACTCTTGTTGTGTGGGCAGATCTAGGTCCTTGTTGTTGACGATTTGGTCCCAGATGCCTTCGGCGTATCTCGAAAAACCATCCGCAGGGATACGTCGGTGATACTCCGGAAGGAAAACACCCCCATCTGAGAACTCGCCTTTCCGTGCATCTAGGCTAGGGTCCCTCTGGCCGTCGCGGAAACGAAGACTGAGCTTCTGTGTCTCTTCCACAAACTTCTCCGGCTGGTAGCCCTTGTGCGGCAGACCGTAGAACTGGAAGTCAAAGTAATCGTGTACGTTCGAGCTCTCCAGGCCAGCAGGCTTAGATATGGAATCCCAGAGACGAGCCATATCTTCCATTAAGGTCTTCTGCAAATTCTGGAGCGGTGTCATTCCTGAATAGTCACGAATGACGAAGAACAAAAGCGATCGGTGAGTGGTACTGGCGATTAAGGTTAGCATAAGAGGGATCCGGAGACTGCGCTGGGGGATTTGTACTTTTTATCCTTAAGGAACAACTGTAAGTTGACTTCGAAGACAGTCTTTAGGAGCCCCATATTCGCACCCTGGTACAATCCGACCTGGTGTTCCCAGATATTCACAATAAGAACCTCACTGGTCGCCAGTGCGAAAAGGGCACTCTTGCGTTCAAAGTCCTGGTCTTCACCTCGCTCACGACCGTCTGTACCTTCCACATCCATAACTAAGATGTTGCTAGCCATAGAGGAGCTCTCATTTTTATTTTTTGACAGCCAAATTCCCTTTGTCGTCTGCCGTCTCTCCAACTCTGACATGACGGAGAAATGCGTGCCGAAAAGGTGATTGAGGAGCGTAGATTTACCCGTCGACTGCGATCCGAAGACGGAAATAAGGTGGTAATTGAAGCCGGAGGGGGTAACATCTTCAAGGCTCAGGTACTGCGACAGATTCGGGCTACGATAACCATTAGCTTTCGAAGCTATGTTCGTCATTCATACACAGTCCGTGACGAGGCGCATCATGGCGCAACGTGTATGTGTATGTGTACGAAAAGTTATGACTGAGGCATAGATGAATTGCCCCGAAGACAGGAGAAAACATACTTGAATTCCTTGTTCTCATCTATTACTTGTACCCCATGCTCATATGCTGTAGTATCACTGGCAGAATTGCCAATGGAGGCGAAATGACCGTTCGTGGCCATGGTCAATTGCACCGTCTGGTGTAGGTAAATTCCACCGACTGTGGTTGCGAGAATTGGGTTGCTCTAAAATAATAAACGCCGTGTTTGCTTTGCGGGTGATGTCGCACTTGGGGGGGCAAGTGGGAAGGACAACGTCAGGGTGTGGAGAGGGTGGCGAGTGTTGGGAGGGATGCCGTATGAGACGGGTGCAAAGCGTCAACTAAGTACATGTAGTATGAGATAAAAGTAGATCACTTAGAAGTAAGGAGAATCACAAGACTTAAGACGGTCCTGTGAGACAACGCCCGAGGGTCGGCTGGGTCTTGTGGATAGGGAGGTTGTCGGTTGGTCGTCCGGAGTACCCTTGACGCCTGAGCGGCCAGGCCACACCACCGAATCCACCGCGTGCCTAGGCGCTGCTGCTTCTGGTTTAGTGACGATCGATCCATCTATCATGTGGAACACACGACAGTCCCCTTTGCATACGAAGTACCCAAAACAACGGCCCACTCCTATTTACGGAGTACACCTCGATTAAGGAGAGCTGGGAAAAAAAAAAAAAAAAAAAAAAAAAAAAAAAAAAAAAAAAAAAAAAAAAAAAGAAAAGAAAAAGTAAAAATAAAATACAATAAAATAAACCAAACAAAAGGTACGATGCACTTTCCAGCCACCTCAGCACAACCTTGCCATATGTTAATCTTAGAACACATGTCCGGCCTCAGTCTACATTAAGACCGCTATTGAGGTCGGGCCACATATTCCACCATAGTTTGCCCAACAACCCCTGGAACGTTTGGATAGCTTTCAAACTCAAGAGTTGCAACAAGTGGCATGTGCAACGTTTGGCTGCATGATACGTCAGGATAGTGGGTTGCTAATATTCTTTCCAATTGGGTTATTGTCCGTCCGCCATAGGTCCTATTTGTCTCGTACAACCCCTGTGAGCTGGGTAATAGGGTGCTATACAGCTGTCCTCATGTCTCAAAGCAAGAGTTAGGAGACAATCAGATTCGCCTGTAAAGCGCCGGCACAAGGCCTACGCAAGCTACTCTAGAGTAAGGCACAAGTGGCCGCAGGATTGGGATTGGAGAGATAGTAATAGACCCCAAATATATGGCCACTAGCCTGGCCGGAGGTATAATAGATAAGGTGTTCTACAAATTGCCCCGTGTGAAGTCGGTACGTGGACTGAGTTTTGTACATTATATTAATCATCGGATTCACATTCAACGACATACCTAGATATAGATGAGGAGAGAATTGTAGAAAATAAGAGAAAAATAAAAAGTCTACATGGTTAAATACAATACAGGTACATGGCATGACTCACGAACTCCGGTATCAACGTTTCCCGGATCCCTTCGCTGATTCCCGCGCTGCAAGAAAAACAAATCCGGGCATAAATTTTTCATAGTACAAAGGCCGCCAATTCATCAGTCACCGTAAACGAGCTGGCATTTATTTTCCGTCCATGACACGGGTGACGAGACCAGTGGCAACAGTACGGCCACCCTCACGGATGTTGAAGCGCTGGCCAGCCTCAGCAGCAATGGGGTGGTGAGTCTTGAGGACCATCTCGACGTTGTCACCGGGATTCACTCTGCGGGACTCATCACCGTCGGGGAAGCTGAGGTCAGCAGCCTCATCTAGTATACACAGTTAGAACCTAGTCAATACCGTGAAGTGAGCAAAAGGCCCGACTTACCAGCAGTGCGAACGAACACCTGGGGGCGGTAGTTGGAGCCGAAGCCAGTACGACGGCCACCCTCAGCCTCAGTCAAAACGTACATGGACACCAAGAACTTGTCATGGGCCTTGGTGCTGCCAGGAGCAGCAATGATCATACCACGCCTGACGTCCTCGCGACGGATACCACGGAGAAGCAAACCAGAGTTGTCACCAGCGCGGGACTCGTCACAAGACTTCTTGAAGGTCTCAATGTCGGTGACCTTAGTTTTGGTGGCATCGAAGCTACCTCCGATGATCTCGACTTCGCTATCCTTCTTCAGGATACCACGCTCGACACGGCCGGAGGCAACGGTACCACGACCGGCAATAGAGAAGACTTCCTCAACAGACATGAGGAAAGGCTTGTCAAGATCACGCTGAGGGGTAGGGATCCAGGTGTCAACAGCCTCCATGAGCTGGTCAATACGCTCGGTACCAATGTCGGGGCGACGGTCTTCCAAAGCGCACAGAGCAGAGCCGAAAATGATGGGAGTCTCTTCACCCTCGAAGCCGTAGCTGCTGAGAAGCTCGCGCATTTCCAACTCGACAAGCTCCAACATCTCAGGGTCATCAACAGCATCAACCTTGTTGACAAAAACGACAATCTTCTGGACACCAACCTGACGGGCGAGCAGCAAGTGCTCACGGGTCTGGGGCCTGTTATAATAGTGTAAGAGCGAAATCCTGGAACGATTCAGTGGCAAAGGGCTTAACATACATCTGACCATCCGAAGCAGCAACGACAACGATAGCACCGTCCATGTTAGCAGCACCAGTGATCATGTTCTTGATGTAATCGGCGTGACCAGGGCAGTCGACGTGGGCATAGTGCCTGTTGTCGGTGGAGAACTCAATGTGGGCAGTCGAGATGGTGATACCACGCTTACGCTCCTCAGGGGCCTTATCAATGGCACCATACTCAAGGAACTGAGCGAGGCCCTTAGAAGCCTGGTGCTTGGTGATAGCGGCAGTCAAGGTGGTCTAAACAGCAACGTGTTAGAGTCCGGGCTACTTCGGGGAAAAAGTCAATAAATCCAGTCTCGCGCTTACCTTGCCGTGATCGACGTGACCAATGGTACCTGTACGTTGCCATTAGCAATAGCCCTGATGAGAGCACAGCAGTTTGTAAATAGGTCAATCCATACCGATGTTGACGTGAGGCTTGGAGCGCTCGAAGGCAGTTGCCATACCACGGGCAGCCAGTCTGTCTTTACCCAAAACATGCTGAACAGGGTTGACAGCGCGAGGGCGCAACAGGGAGGCCCTGCTAGAGCGGAAGAGGAGGTTGGCGGTTCTGGAGATGCTAGACATGTTGACTGCCCTGCAGTGTAATGACAAACGAAAGTTGAACCAAAGGAAACGCGATGGAATGGAAGAAACGGAGCTGGTCTGAGGGTCGAGAAGATCTCCAGTCCCCCGAAAAATTTAGGGAGACGCTTAGTCATCCATTGACCAATCATGAGCGCCGAATTGCGGAGGCTTTCCCCATCCAAATACGGAGTATCATGGAACGTCAACTTGGGTGGGAAGCTATCGGTACCTGTCCGGAGTAAGCGTCGCCAAGAGTCCTACTACCTTATGTTTGTAGTTATCTAGGAGAACTATAATTGTGTTGCTTACTGGTTCTGGGTATAATATACTCTCGAGGGTTTGTTCTAGAACCATGACTGGTAACGGATACTGGGTCTAGTTTTATTCGTCTAACAAAATTGGTGTTGCGGTCAATGTAATACATCATCGTGGCGCCGGGAACTGCTCCGGAGAGAACATCCATTATATCTACAGAGTGCTCTGCCACGTTGTATACATAATATACACCAATCAAAGGTCACATAAGGACATCATTGACCCAAATCCTTTCTCTTCACAACAAGTACCACATGTTTGCCAGGTTCTCCCTCCATCGGTTTCACTTGCATGGCATTGGCATCCTTAGTAGCCTGCAACACACTATCCATCACATGCTTGACTTCCTCCACAGTGGGTGACCTCTTGCCTCTCTTTTTAGTCAATATAACCTCAACTTTCCTGCCCTTGTCGAGGAAGCTTGTCAATTGCTTCAGGCGGTGGGAGAGATCATGGGCGTCGATAGCCCAGTTCAGCTCGATCTGCTTAATCGAATTCTTGTTGACGTGTGCAGCCTTTGCTTTCGCACGTTCTTGTTCCCGCATCTCAAGTCGATTCACGACTTTGCAAACGGGTGCCCGGCCGCGAAAGCCAGGGGAGACTTGTAATATGAAGTTGTCCGGGCGCTCTATCTTCAGCAAAGCATCATGAAGCCTAACTGGTGGATCCAGTTTACCATCTTCATTCACGAGTTGGATATATTCTGATCGGATTTCTTCATCTTTCACCTGCCTTGCCCTTGCCTGGAGCTGACCATCTTGCTGTTGAGGCTTGCGGCGGATGGAAAGAAGGCGGGATTGGGTGAAGGTTGGAAGGAAAGCGGGACGGAGAAATTGGGGTCTAGGAGTTTCAATAGGTGCGAGAAAGATACGGCGCAACGCTTGTGTTGTTGAGATGAATCCACGTATATGCTTCATCTTGTGTTGCAGTCCAGCGTGGAGGACTAGAAGGAAGCTCACAATTGAGGGTTCGGAAGCCGTGAGTATTCAAAAATAAATCAATAAAAATAAAATGGCTTTCGCATCGACTGGTCACAGTGCCATATAGGCCTAATTGGTGGTGAAAAGATTGAGCGGGGAGCTCTCAAAAGAGATATAGTTCGGAATGTACGATGAAGCCCAGGTATGTACACAGTAGTAGTACGTCCCGTCATCCAACCGACGCATTCGGCGGCGAACCAGCCACACGTGCGCCACACACTCACGGGGACGGGATCGAGACCCTGGAACCGGCCGCCTGTAATTTATCTCCTTTTGGTTGCGCCCTTTTCCTCTCCTGACATCTATCAACCCTCTTTTCGGCTGTTTTGCTTTACCATCCACGATCCTTTTTGGGCTGGTCCGGAGGCTCCTGGAGGATCTATGGTCTCTCTTCATTTCGACCGTTAACCTATCTTTCTTTTCCAACTCGGTCGAAACTATAACAGCGTTTCCCCGGAACGAAACGCCACTCGCTCGTCCTCGGTCTTAATTTTTGTATGTCGACTGGAGTTGACGGTCGACATATCCACCGCACGCCATCTTTCCAGAAGCCAGGCTCTAGAGTCAGTAAACGCTCGAATTCGCGGGCGTCCCAACCCGCGAACACACCAAGCAACTCACCGGACACTTGTCAAAGTCCGTCAACCGACATAATGGCACAAAGCCAGAGGTCCCGGTACCTGAAGACTGGCGCCATCGTGGGCGCTTTGTTTTTGATGATCCTTTGGCTCTCACCATCGAAACCAGCAGTGACAGGCTTTGGCCGCGGTATGTTGCATACAATTGTTCATCGACTATTTGTGTCCACTAATAGGCCGTACAGAGAAATCCCCCACTGGTGCCGCTCCTCTAACGGATAAATGCACCAAGCCATACGATCCCTCGAAACCGTTGATTCAGTATGCTCTAATGATCGATGCCGGTAGTCAGGGCTCTCGAATCCACGTCTACCGCTTCAACAACTGCGGCCCTACTCCCGAACTTGAACACGAAGAATTTGAGCAGACCGAGAAGAGGAAGGGTGGCTCCGGATTGAGCTCCTATAAGGAAGATGCCGAAGGAGCAGCCAAGAGCCTTGACCCTCTCATGCAGGTTGCAATGAGAACCGTTCCCGAAGAATATAAATCTTGCTCTCCCGTCGCTGTGAAGGCCACCGCCGGTTTGCGAATGCTTGGGCCAGAGATGAGCCAGAACATCCTGGAAGCCGTAAGGACTCGCCTGGAGACTGTCTATCCCTTCCCCGTCGTCTCTCGTGAGAAAGGAGGCGTCGAGATCATGGATGGATCCGACGAGGGTGTTTACGCATGGATCACAACAAACTATCTTCTCGGAAAGATTGGCGGTCCAGATGAAACACCGACTGCGGCGATCTTTGACCTAGGTGGCGGTTCTACTCAAATTGTCTTCCAGCCCACATTCGAAAAGAGCAAGTCGGGTGGTATGCCGGAACGCTTAGCTGATGGCGATCACAAGTATGAGCTCCAGTTTGGTGGACGGGGCTTCGAGCTGTATCAGCATTCTCACCTTGGATACGGTCTCATGGCTGCACGTGAAGCCATTCACAAAGCTGTCGTCGAGGGTAAAATGGCCTCTAGTGGAAACGATATGGCTTGGTTGAATCAGCCCATCTCTAATCCCTGTATTGCACCTGGTATGGAGCGCGATGTGGAGGTAAAATTTGACAAGGAGCACCCACTTGGATCAAAAGTGACTGTCAAGATGGTGGGCCCGCAGGATGGGTCTTCTTCGCCTGCCCTGTGCCGCGGCTTCGCGGAGAAGATTCTCAAGAAAGACGCCGATTGCAAACTTGCTCCTTGCTCCTTCAATGGTGTTCATCAGCCCTCGCTTGAGAAGACGTTTTCCAGGGAAGACGTTTATATTTTCTCCTACTTTTTTGACCGCACCAAGCCCCTGGGCATGCCTGACTCTTTCACTCTGGAGGAGTTGCACCAGCTCACATCCACTGTCTGCGCCGGCGAATCGTCATGGAAGATATTCGAAGGCATGGGAGAAGCCATGGCCGAGCTACGCGACCGCCCTGAGTGGTGCTTGGATTTGAACTTCATGCTTGCACTGCTACACTCTGGCTACGAGATGCCGTTGTCCCGAGAAGTTAAGATTGCCAAGAAGATTAAGAACAATGAACTTGGATGGTGCCTAGGCGCAAGGTAAATAACCCGTTAAATCTTTTCTTCCCTTTATTACGTTTGAACTTGTGCTAATGTTTCATCACAGCTTGCCTCTTCTGAGTCAGGAATCGGGATGGACTTGCCGCGTGAAGGAAGTCTTCTAAAGATGATGGATATGGCGGTATGGTGATGCATTGATTTTTACCGCATCAGATGGCATGTGTACATCTGTTTTCTTCTCATGCAAATATGACTAGAATTTTGTCATGTCGATTATATTGTTACTGTCGCTATTCGACGTTGCCCAATTCCCTGTATGGTATAGCAAAAGAATATGGAAATGCAATTGATGTCCTGGATACTGGTAGAATACATATGCTAATATAATCTTTCCGGCAAGCCATACAATTACTCTAGTCTATTCTTCTAGTGACGATATAACAAAAAACTTTTAGATCCCACGTCGAGGACTCACACCAAAGGCCAAGCAGAGAATATATCGTACAGTAAGTTGAACACACAAAAAGCCCATCCAATATGTAGGTGAAAACATATCACATCCGTAAGCGCCGTCCATGCAACCCAATCCCACGTTTACTGTGTTTTATTCGTTCATTTCCTCAATGGTTGGCTTTTTCGACGATGTAGTATCTTGGTTTCCCATCAGCGTTTCCAAGACGTTCGACTCGGATGGCGCATTCGGGTGTGGTTTTTCTGCAGGGCCTTCGTCCGAACCTTCGCTCTTTGCACTAGGGACGACGCCGTCGGCGGGGCGTTTCTCTTCCAGGACGCCTAGGCCCAGGTTCTGTAGAAGATTCGTCGATCAGCACAAGTAAATAAGAACCAATATGAAAGATTTGCCTACCATTTCAATATATTGGCCATCAGTTTGATCATCCACCTCGTCCAGCCTCAGGTCCTTCCCCCTCCCAGCCTCTATCTCTTGCTGTAGTTTATCATTGGCACTTTTCATTTGTGGAAGAAACGCAGACAGTCGGGAGAGGAGATCAGGGTTTTTCTCGATACGATGTATTTGAGGTTTTTGTAGAGCAGGTATGCGCGGAAAAGAGTGATCAGAGCCACTGTCACTTTTTACATCACGATCTTGGTCGTCTTCCTCATTGTCGACCTCGTCGTCTTCATCACTATCACTCCCGGAGGATGAGGTGTAATCGTCATCGTCACTGTCGCTATCATTTTTGTCGGGAGGAGCGTGTGCCTTTTGGACGTTGTCGCGCAGGGCTAGCGAGAATACGCGCCGCCCGTCACTCTCGTCGCCAACGTCATCATTCTGACTGGCATGGCTCCTTGACGGTTTCGAGGGAGACATAGCATCGCATGCAGGTTGCGGTTGGGGATCGTCGGACTGCGGGCGCTTCCGATCACTATCAGCCATGATTGCGCCCTGCCAATGAAGAGTAACTTTTCCCCTCCTTTGCACCTCAGAGCGTTTCGCGCAGGATGTGGGGGGGCGGCTCGAAGGAATCAACTAGATTTCCAGGGGGAGGGTGGGCAATAATAATTGGTGCGAAGAGTGGATTTAGGGGGTGGTTTGACGACGGAGGTGAGTTGATTAAGGATAATCTGGAAAATATAGTATGAACCAAACATCGTCCATCATGCCGGATTGTCACTGACATTGAAAAGCATGACAGGGATATTTTTGGACGGAGGGAGCCAATGGGGGCCATAATGTGATCTCGGTTTTCGTCTTGCATTCAAGATCTTATTCTCTTTCTCTCCTTTTGATACTTTTATTCGGTTTCACACCCCGCTCGATGGGTTTTGACGTCGTTGCCCGGTCCGTGCCTGGTGATTTATATTATATTGTATTATTTTGCCATTAAGCTTGGCTCCTGCAGATGCCTCTGGCAACCTGTCTCCTGATCCCTGAAGTATTTAGTCGTTTTTTTACACGAATTCATCATCTAAGGTAAGAATATACACTTACAATTTTCAATCGTGAGACTTTTCGATGGTTGAATCACGATCCATGATCCTGAACTATATCCCGCATCTGTTCATGTCTAGCCCTACACCTCTTACCTATTCATATTCATACCTATATTTCACATGTGGATTATAGCTCACTGAAGGAGTAGACGTTTGAGAGATTCATCTAACACGAATTACTGAGAGAAAAGTGAACTCTCCCTACACTGCAGGGCCGGTACGCCCCAAGAGGCATCCTTTTGACTACCTGGTCCTCCAAGAATCTGGCATGAGTTCTTGCACCTACCTCCTATCCTCATATTAAGGAGGTGTAGCTCTCCCCTAAAGTCACACAATTGTTTTTTACCTACAGTGCATTATGGCCCTCCCAAGAGTCCATGTCAATGACAAAAGTCCCCTGTCCGAGAAGAACAACCCAAAAGACAGCAGCATCGACAAGCGACAATCGGCACAACTCATTGCCCCGACACGAAAGTCCCTGCATCAGAATATCTTTGGGAAACTCCGTCCTCTGCCTTTCCAGTATCACTGGACAGTCTGGTATGACAAGCACTCCGACTCCACCGACTACGATAACAGACTGTACGTCCTTCATGAAGACGTCGCCGACATTGCGACCTTCTACCGGGTTTACAACAACTACCCATGGGAGAAGATCCGGCTCAGAGATACGGTGCATATCTTCCGCAAGGGTGTGCGTCCCGTCTGGGAAGATCCGGAGAACCTGAAGGGGGGATGTTGGAGATTTCGCGTGCCGAAAGGTAAAGCCCAGGAGTTCTTCCATGAGATTGTGATTCTCTGCATGGCAAATGAGTTTCAGGCTGTCCTTGAGCAGGGTTCGTTTCTTCCCAGCCTTTCCGGGTCTCCCGAGACATCAAGAGCTAACTTGCCTATATATAGAACATGACCATGTCCTCGGAGTTTCAACCTCAGTCCGGTTCAACACTCATCTGATCTCGGTTTGGAATAAGCTTGGCTCCAATGAACGTTCCATCAAAGTGTTGGAAAGAACTATCCTCGACCGATTGTCCCCGGAACTACGACCCACTGGCACGGGATCCAATGCGTATTTCTATAAACGTCATGATGAGAACGAGGGATATCAAGAAGCTGTTGAGCGAGCAGCCTCCAAGGATTAAGGGTTTCCTTTCTTGATTATGCTGTGTTAGATTAGAATAGTTGGTCCTCTTGCTCGCTCCTGTGTGGTTTCAGAGACATCTGTATTCAAGCGCTACTGGCATAGCGTTGCTTAAGACCAGTCCATTTTCTGAACCACTAAGCTTCATTTTCGAGTGTCTAGATTATCTTGGTTTTGCCCATAACAGGTTCATTAGATGATTATCATTATTGCCTTCCGTTCTTCTGTTATGATACATGTTTCGGTTTGAATCTAAAGTAGTGTACATGGTTCGTTTGTATTATTAACATGCTGCAGATCTACCGACTTCGGCTCCTTCGATTAGGACTTTTCCTTCGAGCTCCCCGATCATCAGGTTCACGACTTCGATCTGTATCTTTCTCACGATCACGGTCTCGCTCTCCACCGGGTATGTATCGATCAATCTCAACAAAGCGCGGCCGCTCGTCACGCTCCGAGCGCTCTGGAGATCGGACACGCCGACGAGGGGAACGACTTCGATTGCTAGTTGGGGGTACATAACGGTCGATATCAAGAACGCTCGGAGATCGCCGGCGTGAGCGAGATCGTCTCCGCGAGAGGGACACACGGGAGCCAGATTTATCTCGCTCACGTTTACTGTCGCGTTCTGTATCCCGCTCTCGACCACGGTCACGGTCATGCTCGCGCTCTCGGTGCCTCTGACGAGAGCGAGAGCGCGATCGGTATCTAGCGCGCGATCGGGACCGAGAATAGCGCCGTCGTCGATAGTCATCGCGGTCACCATCACGATCGCGATCTCGCTCTTTATCTCTGTCCCTCTCCCGGTCTCTCTCCCGGTCCCTGTCCTGATCTCGGTCCCTATCTCTTCTCTCCCTATCCCGATCGCGACTGCGGTCCCGACGATAGTCATGATCTCGCTCTCGCTCTCTGTCACGCTCTGTACTTCTCTCCCGGTATCGAGGTCTAGAACGAGTTCGGTCGAGATTGCGGTCCCGATCCCGAGGCCGGTCCTGTCCACGGGTGGTCGATCTACTCCTACTCCGACGATTAGGTCGATAACTTCGATCACCATACCGGTCTTCCCGGAAATCACGAATAGCAAGCCTATCATCAGGAGCGCGGTCGCGCGGCCGCGCGGACATGTCTCGTGAGCTCCGGCGGTCCTCGTCAAATCGAGAGGTATACCTTCTCCTTGAACGACTGCGACTGCCATCCCGTCTCCGAGTGCGATTGCGCTCATCTACAGTCGAACCGCGGCGCCGGCTCTGATCGGTGTCTACGGCCGGGCTCCCGGACTTCGTTGGCGTATTAGAGAATTTCGATTCAGAGGTACCTTTCTGCTTGGTCGGCGGCGGTTTAAGGCCATTCTCAATTGCTTCTGCTTCTTCGAAGTCAAATTCGGGTTTTTGTCGCGCTTTAGCCGCAAGTTCTTCGCCCTCTTTCAGGAGAAGCTGCAAAGCCGCTTCCTCTAATGACTTCTCATCCACAGGAGGTGGGGGCGGAGGTGGAGGTGCCGGTGTGGGTTCCTTTGGTGTTGCAGATGTATCCCGTCGCGAATCGCGTAAACGGGGAGATAACCCACGATCAGAGCGGTGGCCTAGCGAGCGGTCACGACGATAGCGGTCGCGGTCCCTATCACGATCCCTTTCGGAGTCTCTATCTCTCGTGCGACTGCGGTCACGCCAATCACGATATTTTTCTCGTTCTTCCCGTCGTCTTCGTTCATATCGCTCCTGCCGCTCCTTTTCCCTTTGCTCATCTTGTGCTCGCTGTTCTGCGCGACGCTGTTCCTCGCGCTCTCTTCTTCTTGCCCTTTCTTCCTCCTCCTTTTGCCGATCTAGCTCACGTTGCTTGCGCTTCTCTTCGGCTTTTCGCCGCGCTTCCTCTTCTTCGGCTTCTTTCTGTTTGCGCAAAGTCTCTTGCCACACCTTCTCGCGCTCCTCTCGCTTAGCTTTAACATGTGCGGCGTAGTCTTCGTCAGTCTTATTCCCAGCCTGTTCTTCGCGAGCGGCAGCCTCCTCGCCGATCTCCTGGCGGCGAATCTCTCGGATTGACTCTAGGATAACGGGAAGGTGCTTCGAAGCCAGCGCATCGAGCGACGCCTCGACGGTTTTATAAATGTCGCTACGATCCACAGCTCCTTCGATCAACGTCGCAGCTTTTCCACGTTCACGAGAAAGTAATTCTGGTTCGCGAGTGATCTCGGATTCCGCTAATTCGACTAATAGATTGGTAAACTCTACCCTCCCTTCCTACATGTGAGCGCATTAGCAAGGGAACAATCTTGGACGACTGAGAACCAGAATGTAAAATGAATTAACTACTAAACATACTCCTTCATCAAATTCCGTCCATAGATTCTTTCGCGTAGTGTCGAAGCCGCCCCTTTTCTTGAATGCGTGGAGGAGGTCCTCAATAGTCCTATGCTGCGTGGGGGACAACGGTAATTCTTCGGTTTTGAACTTCTTCCGTTGCAAGCTCTCAATATCCACCGCCGGTCTTTTAACCTCAGCAGATGAAACATCTGGCATCTCCTCTGGACCAGCCATGCCGAGAAGCCAGAAAAAATGTAATTTAAAAAAAAAAAAAACTTCAAGTAACCCCACTCCAAGGGTTTTCTGGCGTTCCTCCAAGGCTGGCCAAAAAGGAAGCGCAGATCTATGTCGCGCGGCCCGCATCCCAGAATCGCGAGTTGTTGGCCGGCGACCCTGTGATCGGAAGAACCATTCTTCCGTGACGAGATTGGGAACTGCGGCCCCGTGATTCGACGGAGTGGGAGAACATGAGAATCAACCTCATCTCCGCCCGCAACAAGCTCACCAAAGCGCCGGTTCGGAGCTCAGATTACGCAGTGACCGCTTGATTCTCCATTAAGCGGACCCGGATCCAATCCCTTATTTATCAACCCTTAGTCCGACGGTTCTCCTTTCCCGTTCCGCGCACTCCGCACCCTCCATCATCATGGTCCACAAAGTCCTCTTCTGGGGCGGCTTCGGTATGCACTGCATATTTACCTCATGATAACCCCAATTAGGAACATGTCATCGTCCCGAATTGGGCTATCGGACCTCCCACTAACGGTACATCCAGGCATCGCCGTCCGTCTCTGGCAGCTCGGTATCGAAATGCGTCCCATTCTCGCCAAGGAATCTCTCTGGGTGTACCCTCTCTTCGCCGGTGTCGGTAGCAGCTTCGGATACTGGCTCCAGGGTGTTGAGGACAGACAGCTCAAGATCCTTGCGCAACGCCGTGAGGCTATTATCGAAAAGCGTCGGAGACGTGACCAGGGCACATTGAGCAAGGTTGAGGAGGCCGGCACTCTTGCCGCGACGTCGTGAATGTGATATCATGAGTGCTGGAGAAGGTGGTTGAAGGACAGGTTTAGGAGACGATGGCTGTGTTAGTCGACTTGATTGGCCAACGGTCCAGTCGTTCTTGTATCAAAATTTGAACGGTTATGCTCGGGCTCCTGTTATCGAAAAGAGGGGAAGGCATGAAGGCTTTAGTGCCTATGAGCAAGACCTAGATTATGTGTTTATTTTCAATTGTTTTATTCCACCGTTCGCATTGCAATGGCAGATTTCCGTTTGCTTTTTGATTGTATCTGCATATTGATGTCGTAACTCCAGTCGTCATTGGAAATGCCATCCGCGGTCAGGGTGTCTATTTCCCTGTTACTATACAAGCTAAGCTCCCCATAAACGTTGTGGACTAAGGTGTCAAGCATCTACAATTCATATACACTGAAGAAACAAATCTCAATTTCTCAGTGACATCTTGAATCATCTAGCAGCCTCCGACGAGGTGGTTGGTTTGAAAGACTTCCAATTAACCCAGAATGAGCGGTCAAAAGCGCTCAAAGATATGGCGGTTAAATTTCCACACAGTGAACAATGCATATACGTGTTACATTAATGTACAGCTGAACATAACGTTTCCAAAAAGAAGTTTCGTCATCATGGCCGTATCGTGCAATCATGACTTCTCTATCGTAAATTGCAAGGACACTTCCCATCTCTGACCTCCAGACCCATACCCACCGCCTAACCGGTTTCTGATTAGGCTGGAGATCCGCTCTCGAAGTCGAATGAGATTTTCTTCTGAGCCTGAGACACGCAGCTTTAAATTCGCCATGCATAGTCCGTAATGGACCTGCCAGAACCTGGCGTCGTCGACGCCGAACACGCACGGGTCAGCCTCAATATCCCGGATGACGTCCTTTACTCCCGGGCCAGAATATGACATGAGAAGCATAGAACCGAGTGTCTTGACCAAGCGCACGCCGATGACGCACATGGAGATAGAAATCGTGCTGGACAAGAGAACGTCAAGCCAGTTGTAAAGACGCACAGATACCAGGGGGAGTAGCAGGAGAAGTGTGGAGCAAGAAAGCGTAAGAAAGTGAGACGGGTTGCTGAGCACTGAGGGCAACGATTCAATGTATCCGAATCGCATCGCCTTACCTATCCGTCCATGGTTCTTCAGCCCAATTGCAGAGATCAGTGTAGATGAGATTGCCAGCAGAGCAGTGACATCTACACTGCCTACAGACACGCGCTCATGAGCATGAGAGTGGTGGGGCTCGTGGCCAGATGATTCGAGAAAATGCTGCAAGTTATGGGAGATAAGATCCATGCCCATAAAAAGCAGAAGCACGCACATTGCGAAACCAGCGAGCACTTCTGCCCGCTCCAGCCCAAATGGCTGCCGAACGCTGGATCGCTTCCATACTTCGAAATTGCTCAATACATCCACTGAAACACATAGCAACGCTCCAAGAGAGTCAAACAGTATGAGATGGGACAAAGCCGTCATAGCCAGGGACCCGTGCGCACTCCAAAGGGTATACGCAGCGACAAACATATGGCACACACTCCACCAAAATCGTGTTTTCTGATCTTTCGACATACTCGCGCGACACTCCTTGAAAGTCGGTATCGGCAATGAATTGGGCAGAGCCAATGGGGCCCTGGGTGGTGGCTCGAGGAATATCTGGTGTGATATACTACTATGCTTATACTTATGTCCACGTCGCTGGCCAATGTTCTGTATGTGATTGAGCAAAAATCAGCATCATTTCTCATGCAATTTCATCCGGAAAGAACAAAGTGACTTACAGACTTTACCACTGGGCTCTTTGCCATGGTGGTGGTCTTGAAATTAAATGGGCCAGCCGAGCCATTGTCACCCTGGCTGTTCTGAGGTACATTATCGGAAGGGCTGAGAGTGAAGGACGCTCGTGTAGGACTCAGGCGATTCGGGTCTGCAGTATTTAAGGAGCCCCTTTGCGGGGGGAAACTGTCTACCAATGGTGACAAGGAATCTTTGTCCTGCGCATCAAGGCGGGAGGAGTTGCCGGGGGCGCTTGGAGGATCATCGGGGGGTGGAGTAGGGGTGCGCGGAGGAAGAGGGATGGGGAGGTTTGATGCCATTTGCACCTGACAAACCAATGGCGCCTGCGCCGAACCAAGGATATGTTCAAGTGAGGAATGTTACAGTGGATGGAGAAAGGATAGTGCAAGCCGCAGCGCAGAGCAAGAGATAGGGAAGGGTCACGCGCTGATTGATCTTCCCGAGTTATCGATAAATCAGGAGGCGGAAAGGCGGGGAGGTTAGTGCCGGGGAAGCCTGAGGCCTCGACCCAACTCATCGCATCATCGACTCTCAGTTTGTCCGTGTCGTCATTCATGATAGCCTTGTTTACTCCCTCAACCCTGGTCGCGTCTCCTTCCACAACATCATATTTAATCTCCATTGCTGCGCCACGTCCAGGACTGGCAATGCAGCACAACGTACGCCGTTCCATTTGAGGAGACTCCAACTCCGATGCCTACATTTCCTCGGCATCTATGGATCACCGCGGTTCCTTCTTTTTCTTCCTGGTCGTTTTCTACCTACTCCTCAGCTCCCAGTCTCATCCCCCTTTGATTTCTCAGGATCGAGAACGTCAGCGGGAGATCGCGAGGGAAAAGGATGCGCTTCATCTGCTGAATGAGTCCAAGTATGGGGACTTTAACCCACCGGCTGATCGATGGTTGCCTTTTCCGGGAGTGAGGAAGAACGACAGTTACGCTTGGGAGATTCTTTCGGAAGTCCAGGATAGGGCGCGCTATCAGCTACAGTCGGTTATTTCAAATGCTGGGTTAGAGGTTCCCAAGGGTCTCGACAACCCGGATGAATCGCAGGCGCTCAACCTGACGGAGTTGCTTCTCCCCGTCTACCGTAATGCGACTGGTAAACTGCGCGGAGATTGGGTGCGGCGCAAGCTCGAAAGAGCCCATCGCTCATTGAATACAACTGCTATTGTACTGGAAAATGAATATTTCACGCACGAGTTTAGCCATAATGTCACTGGCAATACAGGATCCTTCTATCTAGACTTACGTGAGGGAGGTGGCGAAGAGCTTCGGCTGCGCAATGGCCACGTTCGTGAAATTCGAGCGACTTTAGCTGTGGAAAATGGTGACTTCTGGGGAAATACATGGTACCTTCCTTTATTCGGTATCCATTTTCCTGAAACAGGGGGCATTATCCTAACAACAACGAGCGAGAAATTTGGTGGCATTTTTACCTTGCCACATTTGGCACTTACATCAGATGCATACGACCTTTCGCACCAGCTTCTCATGAAGTCTCTCTCGGATACAATATCTGAGAAACAAAATCGGGCTCCTACACTTTTCCCCTGGTCCTCGCTTGTTGGGGCGGAGCAGGTGGAGTTCCCTGCGCCAAAGTGTGAACACATAGTCTACCTACAACAGCATCCGATTGCCGTCCATGACTACCTTGCGGACAGGCAAATCATAGAACAGATTGAGCAGGAGCTCAGATACCCTATGGGCGCACCAATTCCCTCTCCTCCACTTATGGTCATGTCAGCTGTTGTATTTTCTCCCGATTGCGGGTACGTCCTTGAGACTAAGGGCGCGCCTGATTACCCACCCACCGAAGGACTGTATCTATCCGGGCCAAAGCTGGAGGAGCTCGGGAAATACTCAGCTCGACTAATATTCGTAATATGCGGTTTCTCCGTTGCACAACTTGCCCTGCTTTTGCGGCAGGTCAAGGAGGCTTCCACGCCTTCCACCAGGAGCCGTATCAGTTTCTATACGATTGCTTTGATGGCCTTTGGAGACTCATTTTTGCTCGTATTTGTGTTACTGGAACTATATCCAGCAGTCTCGTTCTTACTCTTGACGACCGCATCATTCCTCACTTTCCTTTCTGTCAGCTATATCGGCATGAAATTCATGATGGAGATATGGGCGGTCCAGGCACCGGAACGACGGGAACAGGACCGCCGATCCAACCCTTCAGCAACAGCAGCACGCCCGGCCAATCTACCATTGCCAGTTACCACACGACTTAGAGACACCGGTGCAACACCTATCATCCTAACCCCGGACCAGGACCCTCCGGAGGACGATGATGAGCCGCCTCCGAATCGTAGCACCACACCAACAGCCCGGGAAACCCGCAGTGATGTAGGAGCAATGTATGCACGGTTTTATTTTATCCTATTCGTCATGCTCATCATTTCCATTTGGTCTTTCCTATGGCCCAATCGACTGGGAGCGTTCTATGCCCGAGCTCTCGGGTTCGTATACCTTTCATTCTGGACCCCTCAGATTTATCGGAATGCTATGCGCAACTGCCGCAAGGCTCTGCGCTGGGATTTTGTGGTTGGTCAAAGCTTCCTGCGTTTGTTCCCTTTCATGTATTTCTTGACTGTGTCCGGAAACGTACTCTTTATTCGACCCGACACGACAACAGCTCTGGCCATGGCCGGGTGGGTGTGGATACAGGTCTGGATCTTGGCAAGCCAGGACATTCTAGGTCCGCGCTTCTTCGTACCTCGAGGCTGGGCACCGCCAGCCTATGATTATCACCCTATTGTACGAGATGCTGCTGCGCCAGATGCTGACCTGGAGTCCGGTGGAGTTTTACCAATTGGAGCATTGAGGGCAGACGAAAGGGATTTTGATACCAAGGAGGATGACAAACAGCGCCCGAAGGATAAGAAAAAGGCGATATTCGACTGTGCGATATGCATGCAGGAGATTGAGGTGCCCGTTCTCGCAGCGCCCGGCGCTCCTGGAGGCAGCAGCATGACAGATGGAGCCACAAGTATCCTTAGCCGTCGGGCGTATATGGTCACTCCTTGTCGACATATCTTCCACAGCACATGCTTGGAGAGCTGGATGCGACTGCGACTTCAGTGCCCTATTTGCCGAGAGTCTATCCCTCCTGTATAGCGTATATGATGGTGGGCATACCCAGCGAAAAGTGTACGCAAAGCTAGACTGTATCAATCATATATATTTCTGTCACAGTCATCATCGAAACGTAGGGTGGATACTACTACTAGTACACCGGAGAATAGTCGTATGCGGCCCTGGGGCCTACATACCTGGCTTCGAGCATAGCCACCCTCCCACTAAGAAGTGCTTCTTTAATACTGAGAGGAGCAATGGTAGCCATGTACCGTAGCAGGCTATGGCCCAGAGCCGTAGTTATTAGATCCAAGTTGATTTGTACCGAATTATCGGTAAGCGTCCAGGAAGAACTTTGGCAACATGTGTATTATTTCCAACGGGCCAGTCGTGTTGAATAACAGGCCCAGCCGTCGACGGCTTATACACGAGTCTAACATTTCATCAAAAGAGGCAATAATTTGGTTCCCCTTGGTAAAACAGAACAATCCAACATAAAAAAAAAACCATGATCACCGAGCGCTTCATTTTGACATACCATCGCATCTATGCATTCTCTTTATCCGACATGTCCCCTTACTCCTTGGCATAGTTTTCCTTGTAGGTCTCAGCATCAAGCAGGCTGTCAAGCTCTGCGGCGTCCGCGACCTCGATCTCAGCAATCCAGGCATCACCCTCGGGGCTCTCGTTGATGAACTTGGCCTTGTCCTCCAGGATTGCGTTACCCTGGATCACCTTGCCGGCCACAGGAGAGTTGACGTCGGAAGCCGACTTGACAGACTCCACAGCTCCAACGGGCTCTCCGGCCTGGACCTCCAGGTCGGCCGCAGGAAGCTCAACGAACACAACGTCTCCCAAGGAATGGGCGGCGTACTCTGTGATTCCGATCTTGGCTATTCATGCATTGTAAGTATAAAATGCGCATTGAGGCTGGACTGCGCCAGGTGCCGCCGGTTATGAACTCACCAGTCTTGCCGTCAGCGGCCAACTCAATCCATTCGTGAGACTCGGTGTACTTCTTCAGTTCCACTACAACAATTCATAAAATATTAGTATGTGTAACTAATGTATGATACCTCAATGCCATTCTGAGGGAAATTTGGAAGGGTCCTTACTGAATGGGCTTTGGGAGAAGCTCCTAACACTTCCCCGCGGGAAACCAGCTGCGGGCGAAACCCTGCAGGCAGCGGCCAGAGGGAGCTTTTGGGAAAGCACGCGAGAGGCGAAGGGGCGGACGGATCTGGCGACGGCAGACATTTTGAAGTGTTCCGAGTGAAAGGAATAGGAATTGAGTCGAAGGAAGGTGTGGGAAGGCAAGAAAGTCGTGATAAAGAAGAGGGAAAGTTGGAGTCCGCGGAGAGATTGCGCAGGTTAAGTAGTAGCTTACATCGTTCCCGGACTGATAAGCGCGCCAAGACTGCTGATAAGCGCCTCTACAATCCGTTGGCCGCAAGTCGGGAAAATCTCATCGTCCCCATCCCGTTATTCTTCTCCGACGCTATCTACCCCCACACCGATTGCGGCCATGTTGTACGAGCTGATTGCCATTGTATGAAGCTCTTTGGATTCCCTCAGACGATTGCCCGTGTTATTTAAGCTAACTGAACCCTTTGACAGGTCCGTCCGGGCAGTCTCCACGAGGTCCGAGAGTATGTCCTTCCGCGATTCCCTGTCCATTCGAGACGCCATCCTTCTTACCCGGGACCTGATAAAAGCATTATTGAGGAAATTACTTAGTCGAGGAGGTTAACTGACTCTTTTTTCAGAATCGCCCGTAATGCTGGCATTCAGGTCCTGCGCTCCGGCGGCGTAGTCCGCGGATACACCAACTGGGGCACCTTCCGACTCCCCAAGCCCACCACAAAGCACCAGGCCAGATACACGGAAGGTCACCACTTTATTATGCGTTTCGATGCCTCCGGCCCCGTACAGATGGCTGTCCGCAGAACCCTCGGTCTCGATCCCCGGATGGTTCGGTTTTCGGTGGTCAAGCTGGGCGACAAGCTTGAAGACATCAAGGATGTCCAGGGCAAGGTTGAGTGGAACAACGCACGCAACATTTCCGAGTCTATCTAAAAGATATCGCTTCTTTGATTACGGATTGGATGGATGAAATGAAGAAGAGCCGTTGTACAGCTCATCTAGGTTGTTGATTTACATTCGGACATTGATGGTTCACTGTATTATTGGGATTGAGGATTGTATTTTTGTACTATCATACCAGCATCGCAGGCGCACATATATATATATATCACTTAATTGGGTTTCATTTTGAGGTGCCATTCTACACCTGTCCAGATTCTCCATGGGCTGCTCAACGTGACACGTGACTTATATCAAACAGCAGCGCTATCATAGCCCAGTTCGAAAGGACTTTACTTTCGCTTATTAGACTTTATGCTAGTTTATTACCACTAGATGATCATCGCATCCGGCCATTTGGTTGGCAACATGTGCTTTGCAGAAGTGGTTTCCGATTCCTTTTGTGTCGAATCACTCTGATGTAAATATGCCGAGTTACACTTGGAAATTTGCGGTGTATTCTCAGTGTAGCTACTTGAGAAGTTTTGATCCCCCACAGAGTTGGCAAAAGCCATCTATATGTTGAGATTCACAATGAAGGCAGTCGAAACCTCCACCCGATCAGCCGAGGTTCGCCATAGTCGCATCGGGTAGTAAGGCGGTCATGCGTCGCGCCAATCTGTGGACTTACATATACTAGGAGTAACACATCTCCTATTCCACTCTCCTGTTTCTAGATATACGGAGGAACAGCCCCTCGAGGTCATCGCTTTAATTCCCCACACCTCAATTCCTACCAGGTTGCCACCATGCTACCCGATAGAAGCGAAGGCGATCCCCAGCTGGTGGCCTCCCCGTCAGCATTCGCCGAGCTGATGGCTCTAAAACAACTCGATAGCCCTAGCCACCTCCACGGCATCCCATCTGATGAGCCTGAAAAGATTGAGCGCTTCCAATCGCTCGCGGCCCCGTATCCACCGGGTGAGGGCAAAATGGCCTTTGGTGGACACGTCTATGCGCAATCCGCATACGCAGCGTCCAAGACAGTAGAGAAAGGCTTCGTAATCCACGTAGGGCCCCTAGTTACTCATGCACGTTCTCGAAGCAAACCGCGCTGACATTACTCAGGATATGACTGGCACGTTCATCTTGGCGGGCCGGTTAGATGTTCCGTATGTGTACACAGTGCGACATGTGAGAGATGGCAAGATGTACTGTACCCGTGCAGTAGATGCACGGCAAGATGGCAAAATGTGCTTCTCGTGTTTATGCTCATTTAAACGTGATGAGGGGCCGGAGACGTTTGCGCATCAGCCTTCTTCTGCACAGGAGCGCTTCAAATCCATTCTTCAAGCGAAACCCGTGGAAGAGCAAATTGTCAGTCCTAGTGTGGATGCCGACTGGTGGATCGAAGTGGTGGAACAGGGAGGTGTCGCGGAGCGGGAGTTCCCCGGGTTAGATATGCGCAAGACCGATATGCAGGGGTACAACCTTACCGAGGATGTAAAGCAGAATCCTGAGAAGTATCGCCAGCTTCATCAGTATTCATTGAAAGGATCACCTCAAGATTCTACAGTTTCGGTCAGCAGGGAAGAACTGAAAGTTAAAGAGCAGTCAGGGGAATATGATAACCTATACGCATGTGCACATATGTATGCGAGCGACAGAAACTCTTTGCTGTTGATACCGCGCGCTCTGGGCCACAAGAACTGGACCGCAATGGCTAGCTTGACCCTCACGGTCATCTTTCATCAGCGGGGTGATGCTCTCAGGATGATTGATTGGGATGCAGTGTCGAGCCACGATGGTACGGATCTGCCGAAAAAGTGGTTTGTACAAGAGGGGTGGACACCTCGCTCTGGCGAGAACCGGGCGATTCATGAGAGCTGGCTCTGGAGCCCGGATGGGAAACTGGTGGCTACTAGTTATCAAGATAGCCTGTTGAGACTCAGAAAACACGACCGAGAAGGGAAGCTATGATGCGACCTGTATATAATATAGAGTATCCAACTGCAGAGACTTAATACACTGTATATACATATGCAGCACGATCTTTCTATGAAAGTGTTTCGTGATAGTATTTGCATTATACTAGTTCTCTTTGGTCCTTGGCTGTACCAACATGGACAAATGAAAGCCCAGTATATATTCGAAAGACGCAACTCAAGCAGTAGCGTTCTCATTAGTCAACCATCGTCATGGCTACCATACAACTTATCACACTCATTCAACCTCGAACGCTCAAGCAGACTCTAAGTATTCTTAAAGCTTCGATCTACCCTCGAACCCGCCAACAAAGTCAGCTTTCGTCATCTCCGGAGCCCGTGCGAGTAAAGGTCCAATGGCCTTAGAGAACTTCCTGAACTCAGGGGATGTCCCATGGGCCTTCAGGTTCTCCAAATCGGTATACCTGAAACAAGCTAGTTAGTGAACTTGTTCATTCCGGACCCGATCTACATAAAGCTCACTTCTCAATAAACACCAACTCCTCGCTCTTGTCCGGACGAAGAGCACAGTAGATTTGCGTCTTTGGCTCGTTTGCCTGGACATGCTTTGAGAATGATTTGAAAGCGCCCAGAAGCTTGGGTATACGTTAGTATGATTTTTAATTAGAGTGCAAAGAAGCTGTTCGTACCTCGTTGAATTTGCCCGGTTTGGGCACGAGCTTCACGATGTTATAGAATTCGCCGGTGGTCATGGTTGTGATTGTGGATGTGATTGACAATATTACTCGTATTGGTTTACCTTGGTATTACTTCAAGTTCGAATATATCAGATTGTACTATGTCACTTGTAGTGGAGATAGTATGCCTTTAAAGGAGCCGGTCTCGGCTATGTGATCATAAATCATTGATGTGGGGACAGGAGATGCCGAGGATATACTATACTGTACATTGCCTTTAGCTTGGAGTATCACATCATTTTGTAGGCCATGACAGGTTACATTCTTCTGTTTAGAATGATAAATTGCAAGAGGGATTATTCGTCTGGACAGTCATATGTATGTTTGCCTCCTGTATATTATCAGAATGTATGAGCACACATCATTCATCATCTGCCAGGCGAACCTCGTAATATATTTCAAACCAGTCGTGTATCCGTTCCATTTGCTACGAAGACACAAGTACTTCCTGTCTCATGCATTAAGCATATCCATCGACTGGGCTTAGTAAAGAGCATCAAAAGTTACACTGCTTGTAACAATCTCCACACCGACTTAATCACACTGCTGAGTTACTGGTCACAGAGTGCGCTTTTTACGAGCAATCCTCTGATACAATGCATTGATGTACATCGTAAGATGTTTTAGTGTCTATCTTCTAACATCTTTTTGATGTCAATCTTCCATCGCGTCTCAACAACCAGTCTAACTCCAAACAGAATCAAGTAAAGAAAGGTTTATAAACCAAGACTAGATATCTATGGTCTTCTCAAGAGCCGATGCCAAGGTCTTTGTCTTCTTTACATCTAACAATTAAACAATAGGTGCGAACAGATCATCCTCTGCTAGCCGTAGGTGTAATGCGATTCACTGAGCTACTACTAGTAGTAGTACTTTATCTGATATCAGCAGCAGTTGGCCTTTATTCTTATGCCAGTGGACGATGGCCTGTCCTCATTATAAAAGTCCAATCACGTGAAGATGACGTAAGAGCATATCGATGTAGGTTGATTTTCTTTGAGAGTCTGGACTCTCAGGTGCACCTTCTGTCTTTATCCCCAACTTCCACGTCACTTACTGAAGATGTACCTGTTCGATTATCTCTAAACCATTAAAATGAAAAAGACATTGCTCCTTGTTTTTATCCACGGCTTCAAGGTACGATGCCCCACTACATACTCTTGAATTATTGTTTTATTTTACCCCGCACGTGTCAACATTGTCATACCAGTGAATCCATGACACTGATAGATTTGTCATAGGGAGATGACGATACTTTCGGAAATTTTCCGGAGCACGTACGTGCACTCATCGGCCGTGCTCTTCCTGCTATAACCGTCGCTACAGTTGTGTATCCGAAGTACCAAACCAGAGGAGATCTGAAAGAATGTGTGAGCCACTTTCGAGAATGGTATGTCGCGCTATCCACTGTGATATCTCAAATCACTGATAATGTCTCTTCATTGCAGGTTACAAAACCAAGTCATAGACCTGGAAGTCGCCAACCGAACAGCCTCACCTACCGTTGATCCTTCAGTCCATGTCTTCCTAGTTGGGCACTCGATGGGGGGTATTGTCGCCGGAGAAACGCTTCTTCTACTGGCTTCAGAGCAGCCAATTCCTGCCAAAACCTCTTGCGCGGACTCGGAAACGGCCGCCAATTCGCAAATCCTCGAGTCTGGCTCGTTCATGTTTCCTCATATCCAAGGAGTGCTTGCATTTGATACGCCGTTTTTGGGTATTGCCCCGGGAGTGGTCTCGTATGGTGCAGAAGGACAGTATAAGAATGCCACGACTGCGTACAATGCGATCACGGAAGTAGCAGGTCTGTTCGGTTTTGGGGACAGTAGTGGCTCATCCACCAAGGCAGCAAGCGCCAATCAAGGGGCCACAAGTAACAAATCTTTGCCTCCACAGCAGGCTAGTGCTGCCAGTCCATCTTCAGATGCTGCGGCGACACCATCCTGGCAGCGGTGGGGTCGATATGCTATGTTTGCAGGGGCTGCAGGGGCCGTGGCTGCGGGAGGAGCGGCTGCAATGTATTCTCAACGCCAACGCTTGACCGACGGATGGGGTTGGGTCTCATCCCATCTTGCATTTGTTGGGTGCTTGGCTCGTCCCTCCGATCTTCGCCACCGCATATCACTCTTGTCCGAGGTACAGAGGGAACGCGGAATCGGCTGCACCAATTTCTTTACAGCCTTGGGCAAGAATGCAACGTCGCTGGTAGAGACCTCGAGCCAAGGAAAGACATCGCTGAGTCAAAGAATTATCCGCTCGAAATACCGCACGTTCTGCACCCTCCCTCCTGAAGTGGAAAATGAAGATGCTGCGTACGACCCGAAAGCAGGGCTCGGATGGGTCAAAGCTGTGAATGATAAGGCAGCAGACGAAATTAAGGCGCATGTTAGCATGTTCTTACCAAAGGAAAACCCTGCTTTTTATGGATTGGTCAATGAAGCGTGCAAGATCGTGGTGGAGTCGATCGACCGGGGATGGTATTCGACCGCGACGGGGCCTGTAGAGGAAGTTGACGACGACCTACCGCGGACCGAGAGCGCCGGGAACCCTGCCGACCCAGATAGTGGCTTCATGGATGCTGAAGATGTCGTAATTGTGGAATAAAGACTACGATTGGTGGTCGAGTCTTTCCAATTTCGAGCGTAACTCGCTTACGCGCCCTATTCTCGGGAACGCAGGACGACCGTTTAGACCACCTGCACGGCCTCTGCAGGATTAAATTTGAGCTAATTATGCTAGTCGGCGCAGCCGACGCATGATATCGCTTATGACGGTTCCATCTTTTCCGGTGTTACACCCCCTATTCCGTACCGATCGCACCTTGGTGGTCTAGGGGTCAAAGAATGGTGCGATAAATAGTCGTTACAATGACAAGGTGGGGTTGAAATCATGTTGTTAATTTAGCTACGGACTGTCTCCGAAATCGCCATGGGTTTTCCACTCAAACCATCACGGGATCGAACTGTGGGGATCGAGGAACGGTCATAGATCCCCTACTCCACCGGTCCTTGTCCTAGGCTCTGGCAGCTACGGAACTATTTCCCTAGGCACATTAGCGACATCACAATGGTCCCTCCATCCCTCATTACCGGTCAAGTGCCACGGTTAATTTCGGCCGGTGACATTTGTTCTTCTTACACTGCAGGGTTGGCAGTCTCGTACAAATGGCGATATATGTCATGTGAAATGCCAAAACTTCAATGATGGAATCGTTAAAAGCCAACAGGAGGTTCGAAGAACAACTTGAATCACTTTAATTGTGTAACTATTCTAGATACTAAACTGAGTCGGCTTATCCACTGTACACATCACACAGAAGTAGTCGGGAGTATCAAAGAAAACGTTGTATGAATCAACGCTACCGTCGCATGGCATATTGAAAGAAAACATCGTTGGGAATGTTACAGTCGAAGTTCCTCACATGACTGGCAAAACTTTACAACAAAAAATAAAAGAGGATATTCAACCACGCTCACACTCAGGCATTAACTCGTTAGGCCGCAACAACGCGAATCAATGACTAACTTTAAAAGATCAAAAATAAAAAAAAATCAAATAAATAACCCTTGAATATGATCGTCACAAGATATATCAAACCTAATAGTGATTAATAATTGTGACTGTTATAAGCCGACACTCGGTGGTGATACATGCTTCCGGCGTACTCCGAATTTGTGTCCTGGTAAACTGTTGCGCGACGATCTTCTTCCGGAAGGAATTCCTTAACCTCCCATGTATTGGGTTTGATACCGACGGAGAATTCCAGATCTTCCTTCGTAATGTAATCCCAGAACTGGGGATGATCAGCACCCGTATACATGAAGTGTGGAGCAGGGTTAGATAACGGAAACTGCAACAAACGTACCTTGTAAACCATCATGACCGCAAGTAGATTACAGATGGTCGTAAAGAACAGACCGTCCATGTAATGTTGGACATTCTCGCAGATGGTGTCACTGAACGCGTAGAGGAGCACCTGACCGCAGATGAAGACCAGGAGGCCGAACGCGATATGGCCGAGAGGCCAGCGGTCTTCAAGCGTGTTCATGACCAATAGGAGTTGCATGATGAGGTAGACTGCTATACAGATCGCGTTGAGGATATATAGTACTACAAACATGCCGACGGTGTTGGTGGGACTGAGCCCGCCCCATGACTTGAACGTCAGGAGGGAGATGACGAATGAGATGGCGAACATCGCTGTGGAGGTTAGACGGAGGAGCCAGACTGAGAGCGCTGTTCCATCTTCATAGAGCTGGAATCCAACGAATCCGTTGACGAGAAGGCTTGTGCATAGGGCGGAGGTTAGGCCGTTTTGTACAGCGACGAAATAAGGGAACGGGCCGCTCCTGGGCGGGACCACTCCGGCGTCGATGACCAGAGAGCACATCGTTAGGAGCATATAGATGTAAAAGAAGGTGATAATCTCCTTGCGACCTGGATAGTCGCGAACGGGGTTAGTGATCGCTCTCTCATTTGGAGTGAACTGCGATTCTCGGTGGTTTTACGTACCGACCGCGGTGAACTTGGACCTGATGTGTAAAATCATAATGACCGTCATTGCCAGCGCTATGATATGGACGAAGGATGCGGCGCCTTCGAAAATGATTGTGTTGGCCAGTTCGATGTTTCGCGCATAGCAATTGGGGATGATGCCGGTTGCGCCTGATATCGAGGAAGCCGGGCCCACGAGGGAGCACAGCGGCAGCGCTGCCTTCTGGCAGATCGTGTCGAAGTCGCCGAACCCCATTTCGACCGCGCGTTGAAGCTGGGTGTAGTAGAGCTGTGGGATTGTTTGGGTTGTTCGATGATATCGCAAGATGAGCGGATCCGAGCCGTCTCCACAACGACGGACGGAGACGGGTTTCCAGTGACCCAGATAGGACTTCCGTGGCGTCCACTGTAGTGTCTACAACGAATGACTGGTGTATTCCGGAGGAATGAAGCAGAACGAGTGAGATCCCGATGATGAGGCGACGACAATTAGCGTCCGACGAGGGGTTTTGGCCTTGTTTCTCCTGGTCTGAGGCTTCTGGAACAAGAATCACGAGGTGCGCTAAATCTAGATCAAGGCTAGCCCAGATAAGCTTAGCCCCAGGTTGCTATTCTGGGATTAGTGTGTCTCCCCGGATAGGTCACCTTAGCGCTAGCCCCTATTGGTAACTTGTTTATCTGGGCCCTAAAGAAGCATGCTAACCGCTTCTGGTTAGGTTGGGGAAGCCTTGCTATACAAAATTCACATTCTCCAGAGATGTCGAATGAGGCCACCGGAGGTCACAGACAAGCCTGGCCATGCAAGTGTGGCCGCACGAGTACTATGTGCCGCTTCTAGTTTGCCATATTATTGGCCTTGTCTTTCCCTGCGATAATTGCCAGTAGGCAACGAAGCATTTGATCCTTGTTCGCCAAAACTGCCAAGAGCCTTAGTATATTCATATGTATTCTACTTGCCAGGAGAAGGTACCACGTAGGTTGTGGTGAAGACCAATCTTTGCAGATCTTCTGCGATATCCTTAGGGAACAAGATGTTACTGAAATTGTATGTACCGTCATATATGAAAAATTGGGGGACAATTTGAAGCCGGCAGGCGCACAAAGGCATTTTGACAGGGGCCCATCTTTTCTTTTTCTTTTTCTTTTTTCTTTTTTCTTTTTTCTACTAGGCCCAACAGTACTCACTGTTATGGCACATGATTGATGGTAAACGTAAAAAGCAATGTGAGCCCGAAACCAAGTCAGGAAAGCCGATCCACAGTCAAAGGTAGTTGAAAATGCCACTTACCTACATCTGAGTGGCCATCGACTTCAGGGCTGGAGGTCTTAGCACCTTCTAGAATCAGTATACCGCTTTAGGCGGAGATTACTGATCCTGTTGGGTGTCTGGATGGATAAGATCCCTGAAATGTATTACATCAGATCTGCGGAAAAGTGAAACGAGCTTCCCCTAAAGTTTTACAGGCATCGAACCCCACATGCATTCTACTTCTTTATTATTATTATTAAATTATCTTTTTTTTTCCCCCCAACCTGTCCTTCCCCTGCAGCACCCGATTGTCCCCGGACTGTGAGTCACTTGACTGATAGATCTTTGTCCCTCGTTGAGGTTACCATTCCGATGATAGAATGCCATTGTCAATCTTATGACCAGCACTGCTTTGAGTCTTGGATGATCTTGATTATCTGATGCCCACTTCGACGGTTGGTTGATTTAACTTTTCTCGAAGCCGTGGATTGATTCTTCGTTAGCCGTAGTCAAAGCCCGACGGAAGGCTGCTGTAACCTTGTCAAGACATGCCGTACTCCGAGTGGGCCACTATCCCGCGACATAGTTCTTGAAGGCTGATTCGGATTTGACCCCCCAATCCCCCCCCTCATCGTATACTTTACAATATTCCCCTACTAAGGTTTAAGCGGAAAGGCAGAACCACCGTGATTTTCTTGGCATACTGATTCTTTAACCAGCTTACGTATGCGATATCAAATCACTAACAGCGGGCCATGCCCTCTTCCCGTCTGCAGATAGATGCGACTATCTTATGATATCATGGTTCCTTGACCGATGGGGCTAAGATCATAAAATCATAGACTAAGGGAGGGAGAGAAATACTAATTAGATTTATAATTATATATAAAAAAAAAAGAGGATAATAAAATTTAAAACCACTCATCGGATTTGGTTCCGACCCACAGATTTCAGACCCTGAGGCACCAACCGGATGTTTAAACTTTGAGCCCGAGCGGCACTTCGCTATAGTTAGTACCATTCGGTGAATTTCATGGCTCCAGGTGCCTTTAGTGAAACCCGGAGAAAAAAATTACTAAGTCACGGGAAAACGTCCAGGTGTTTTTCCCGGTTATACGGTGCGGATTAGGGTACGAGCCGATCTGTTACTATGGCGCCGACATAGTAGGTCTAAGGAGACGGGAGTGTGCATACAGCTCAGCTTAAATCGAGTGACTTTCATCAGGGGCCGAGTCTAATTAAAGGAGGCATATGGGTACCCAACACTTTGATTCTTGTCTTTTCCCTTTTATTTTCTTTTCCTCTTTTCTTTATTTATTTATTTCTTTCTTTCTTTCTTTCTTTTTTTTTTTTT